CGCTCAAATTCTCTGGACCTCTACCCTGGCCTCCTCCACCCAACTTTCATTGTCTTGGCATCCTCTCCACCCCCAAGTCCTCTCTTCCGTCCCTTCTTTATCATCTCCCTTTCCCTCTCCACTTCCCACCCCCTTCCTCTTCCTGCCTCCTCATCTCCCTAAGGCATCCTCTTCTCCACCCTCCCGGCACCGTTTCCTCTGCAAAAATGACAGCACTTAGATCAGGCTGGGGGGTGGGGAGCAGTGCTGGGAGAGGGCTCCCCAACCCCGGGCTCCGACTGTTCTCCGCTGGGACCGCCCAGGCTCAGACACCCAAGGGTGCCTTGCAGGTCGCAGAGCTGGCAAGCCGGGCCTTGCGTGGGGACTTCGGCGAGGGTGGCGAGCACTGGTTCCGAACGCGCGCAGGGGAGAAGGGAGGGAAAAGGCGCTGACCCTTCCCAGGTCAGCTGGAGTTGACTCGCCCACCTGGGCTTTTCAACCCCAGTCCGCGAGTTTTCTTGGTGTCGGGCTAGATTCCTTCACGTGTTTTGTAACGAAAGAATCCAAAAAATAGGACCAAAGCTCCCACTGGCAGGAGCGAGGGCGGGGCGGGGAGCTCTATAATTATTTGCTAAGATGACGGGGGAGGTTTGTTGCACGCGACAGCCCGCTGAGGAGGCGGGGACCGAGCTACAGCATGGTTCAGATTTGGCGGGTTTTTTTTTTTTCTCTAAAAAAAAAAGTCTGGGGGAAAAAGAAACTAAAATTCTTAAAAATATATATATATCAAATTGATTTATCCCTTTTTGTATGCCGGATGTTGCATGAGTCTGAAACACCAATAAACGGAGACTGCATGAGACTCGCCTCCAGTCTCGGTTGGTTTCTGTGTTTGTCCCGCCGGCGAGGCGGTGCTGCCTCTCTTCCCACAGAACCTTTTTTTGTGTCGTATGCGCATGCGCCGTCCCGGTGGCCATCTTTACTATGGGCTGAAGCCTGCGCGCCTACCCGCGCATGTGCAAGCCTTCCCTCGCTTTCCTCTTCAAGTAGCCTTGACTGGAGCGGAGCCTCCCGCGCCATTTCTGTGCGCCTGCGTACTGTGACCCTGCGCAGCCCGGGAGGCGGGTCTTAGCTCCAGGTGCGTACGGTCGCTGAATTGACGCGGCCTAGAACTACGAGGTCTGGGGAGAGGGCGCCGCGTCCAGGTGTGGAGAGGGGCGGCGTGAAAGCGAGAAGAGTGGCCCGCCCTTCTCGGGCTCGGAAAGTGGTTTCTGCGGGGCCCGGGAGTGTCAAGAGTACCGGACCTCCATCCCCGGGGCGGGGTCCTTGGCGGGGACTGAGCGCCCCCTCCCGGGGACGGGCGGTCTGGCCGCGGAGTCCCCTGCGGGATCCTGATTGGCTGAAGACGGTCCCGAACCCCCCCCCGGGGATCCCTATCCCTGGGGGACCCTGGCTTCGGCCTCCAGCATCTGTCGTCGCAGGGTCCCTGCCCTAGGGCCTTATGTCCCTTGCCCGGGGCCATGGAGACACTGCGGCCACCACGGCTGCACCTCAGTCTGAAGAAGGGGAAGTGACCTCCGGCCTCCAGGCTCTGGCCGTGGAGGATACCGGAGGCCCCTCTGCCTCGGCCGCTAAGGCCGAGGACGAGGGAGAAGAAGGCCGAAAGGAGACCGAGCGTGAGGGCTCCGGGGGCGAGGAGGCGCAGGGAGAAGTCCCCAGTGCCAGTGGGGAAGAGCGCGCCGAGGGGGACTCCGAGGACTGGTGTGTGCCCTGCAGCGACGAGGAAGTGGAGCTGCCCCCGGATGGGCAGCCCTGGATGCCCCAGCCCTCCGAGATCCAGCGGCTCTATGAACTGCTGGCTGCCCACGGTACCCTGGAGCTGCAAGCAGAGATCCTGCCCCGCCGGCCGCCCACGCCCGAGGCTCAGAGCGAAGAAGAGAGATCCGATGAGGAGCCGGAGGCCAAAGAAGAGGAAGAGGAAAAGTAAAGGCACACCCTTACACCTTGTCCCGGGGCTGCTCCCCTGATGGCAGGAGGAAGTAGGGAGGGGAAAATGTGGGACCCAGGAGCCTGGAAAGCGGAGGGAGGAGGAATGGGCAGGGGAGAAGCACACGTGTGGGTTGAGGGGGGAGGACCGCTCTCACCCTCCACTCTGTTCACCTGTCCCAGACCACACATGCCCACGGAATTTGATTTTGATGATGAACCAGTGACACCGAAGGACTCGCTGATTGACCGACGACGCACCCCAGGTACAAAGGAGAGGGGAAGGTTGGGGAGGTGAAGGGCCTCCGCTCAGTTACCCCGGATCGGCTCTCCTAGAGGCCTTTGCTTGCTGCCTCAGCTGCCACACAACTTCAGCTATAGGAGAGAGCATTCACTAGTAGTACCATCTTTATGAATTAGACTACTACCTCGTCTTCCTTTTTTTGTTTTAAGACAGAATATTTCTCTTGTCGCCCAGACTAGAGTGCAATGGCACAATCTCAGCTCACTGCAACCTCCACCTTCTGGGTTCAAGCATTTCTCCTGCCTCAGCCTCCAAGTAGTTGGGATTACAGACGAGAGCCACCACACCGGGTTTCACCATGTTGGCCAGGCTGGTCTCTTAACTCCTGACCTCGTGATCCACCCACCTCCGCCTCCCAAAGTGCTATGATTACAGGCATGAGCCACTGTGCCCAGCCCCTTGTCTTCCTTTAAGAGACGGTTATAATACAAAAAATTAGTTGGTTGTGGTAGCCAGCGCCTGTAATCCCAGTTACTGGAGAGGCAGAATTGCTTGAGCCTTGGAGATGGAGGTTGCGGTGACCTGAGATCACGCTGCCACACTCTAGCCTGGGCCATGGAGTGAGACTCTTTAAAGAAAAAAAAAAATTACAGATAATTCCTTAAAACACACACACACACACACGTCATTGATTCTGGAAAATTACAAATAATTCTATTATGTTTCCCATTCCCAGAAGTCCAGGTCCTGGCCTTTCAGTATTGTGTAGCTTGCATCCCTCTACTACCATGTACATCTTTAATCACACCAGTGACCCCATTTCCCACCCCACATGCCTTTCTAGAATTTACCCTCAGAGTCATGTCTTTTTTGGAGAGACAAGGTCTTGCTATGTTGCCCAGACTGGTTGGTCTCAAACTCTTGGGCTCAAGTGATCCACTGCCTTGGCCTCCCAAAATGCTGAGATTCCAGGCATGAGTCACCGCACCCAGCCTAGAGACATTTTTTATTTTTCTCTCTTACCTGCACTTTCACACCAACAGCAAGTCTTGCTAACTCCAAGATGTACATTCCAAGTACCTCTGCTACTCTCCACTTTCAACACTATACCCCCATCCAAGCCACCATCTTTGCCTGGATAGTTGCAGTAGCTCCTAACTGGGCTCTCTGCTTCCAGTTTCTGCAACTCAGATGATCCTTTTAAAATATAAATCGTGTCACTTTTTTTTTTTTTTTTTGAGTCGAAGTCTCTCACCCAGATTGGAGTGTAGTGGCATGATCTCTGCCCACTGCAACTTGCGCCTCCTGGGTTCAAATGATTCTCCTGCATCAGCCTGCTGAGTAGCTGGGATTACAGGCACATGCCACCATGCCTAGCTAATTTTTGTGATTTTTAGTAGAGATGGGTTCTTGCCATGTTGGCCAGGCTGGTCCTAAACTCCTGACCTCAAGTGATCTGCCTGCGTCAGCCTCCCAAAGTGCTGAAATTACAGGCGTGAGCCCCTGCACCTGACCATAAGTCATGTCGCTTTTCTACTTAAAATTTTCCAAGGGATTCCATCTTGCCAGGGAAGAGCGAGAGTGCCAGCTCTCTGCACTCTTCTCTGAACAGAACTCTGTTCTTGTCCTGGGCCTTTACCCTTGCCGTCCCCCTCCCGCATATGGTCCTCCCTGCTCTTCACATTGCTCATGCCATCCTGTCATTCAAGACCTTCACCACTCACTCTTTCTGAGGCCCAACCCTGAACCTCAGGTCCTCCCAGACAGAGGCCTGGGGACCTGAATGTTTAACTAGCTCCCCAAGTAATGAGTGAGGTTCAGGCAGGTCTGGTGCACACCGCCTCCATCCTTTCCATGTATCTTACCTTCCCCTTCTCCAGGAAGCTCAGCCCGGAGCCAGAAACGGGAGGCCCGCCTGGACAAGGTGCTCTCGGACATGAAGCGACACAAGAAGCTGGAGGAGCAGATCCTTCGTACTGGAAGGGACCTCTTCAGCCTGGACTCGGAGGACCCCAGCCCCACCAGCCCCCCACTCCGATCCTCAGGGAGCAGTCTCTTCCCTCGGCAACGGAAATACTGACTCCTGCTGCTCCTGCCTCTAGGGTGCAGCATCTGTACCTGCTGGGACCTGGGCCCTCCTTCCCCAGCCCAGACACTGAGAAACTTGGGAAGAAGAGAGAAACCCCAAGCTCCCAAACAGCACGTTGCAGGAAAGAGGAAGAGAGAGGAGAGAGAGAGAGAGAGAGAGAGAGAGTGTGTGTGTGTGTGTGTGTGTGTGTGTGCGTGTGCATGTTTTCTATTGAACACCTATTTGGAGACTGGGACTGAATTTTCTGAGTCTGAAATAAAAGATGCAGAGCTATCATCTCTTAAGAGGAGTGGCTGTAGCTGGAGCCTCAACAGTTTGGTCCCTCTTGAAGGGAGAGGCAGAATTGTATTCACCCAGATTGGAAAATGAAAGCCAGATGGGCAGAGGCGCCCTCAGTCAGCACCTGCCCTGTCTCGCATTCTCCAGCCACACCCCAGTGCTGCCAGCTGGCTCCAAGGCAGAAACTGATGAGCGGGCAGGGAGCAGTGTGCCTTCAGCTGCAGCAGAGACAGCCCAGAGGACAAAATGAGAACCAGCTGCAGGGGCCCTTTAACTCTCAAGCCCCACCCCTGGGCCAGGCCTGGCTTGGCCTGCCGGGAAGTGATTCATCCCCAGGGCTGGGTGAGAGTTTTCCATCTCAGGCGTGTGTTGCAGCTAGCCGCACTTCTAGATGTGAGTACGTGGTACTGGCCGCCCAAACCTCAAATCCGGCAGATCTTTGTATCCCTTGAGGCTGTCTTTAACCCTGTCCTGTTTTCAAGGGCCTTGCTTCTGCTGGAGGGCAGGGAAAACCTGAATCAGAGTTGGGAAGGAGGATGGGCGGTGGCTTTGCTTTGGGAGATTTCACTTTCCAATAATTGAAGTTTTCTGGGTTTTGAAGTAAAGGTAGATTAACTCACCAACACTGTTCCCCACTGCCCTGCAACTCTCGGGCCTCTGACTTCAGGGTTCCACATGGGACATCAGGTGGGCAACCTCAGTGTTCATTCAGACCCCATCTCAGAGCTACATCGGTGCTCGCTCTACTTACCTGCACTGTCCTGGGGACCTGGGCTCTGGCCTTTCACCTTGAGCCCCAAGAATGTGACCTGTCCACATTCAGGCCCCTTAACTCTGACAGAGGAGGCTTTCCTACTGCCCCAGCCGGATGTTGACCTCAGCCGATCATTCCGGAAGTCATTAGAGTGATTTCTAGAAGGCATAGAATTTGGTAACCAAGGTTCTTTCCCTTTTTGGGAGGATGTTTAGCTGTACCCACCAGGCTGAGATTCTGGGGATCTTAGAGCAGTCCCTTGGGTGGGGGTGATAGTGAGGCTGATGGCCCCTGTGTCCTCTGCTCCTTGCCTAGGTGACCCCTGGGTGATGGGGGAAAAGGCTGGCTGTCATGTGGGGTATGAGGTGGCTCTCCCAGAAACTCCCTTGGCACACACAGCACTGGGTTGGCCCTGGGGTGTGGCTGTTTGGACAGGATAGCCCACTATAGCCTTGAGCAGGTAGGGAGGCCACCTTGAGAGGGTGGCCCAGAGACAGCCTGAGAGCTCCATGGTAACAGGGTGCTCAGGTTACCTTGGGTGTTGCCCTCCCAGGTTCTAGGGGAACAGAGGCTGGGCACTGGCCCGGGTTACAGAAAACACCTTTGAACTGCCATTGGCGCCATCTGGGAAAGTACCCAGCCCCACCCAGTTCCTCTAGTCCTTGTTCTTGGTTTAGAATCTTCCTGTTTCTGCCTGAAAAGCCACTGCCTCCTGGTTTGTGGTCTCTGCAGTCATGATGCCCAGAGCACACTTTGAGCTTCATCCTTTGATAACTGCGTGCTCTTGGGCAAGTTTCTTAACTTTCAGGCTCTTGTGAGGATAGCATGAGTTAATTGAGGCCTGACAGATTAAGCTCATGGTAAGTGGGAGCTATTACTTGGGGGCGTTTGCCTAGAACACAGGGTCCAGAGGCTGTCTCCAGGAAACCTAGACCCAGTGGGTCAAAAGTGAGGCCTGCAAAAAGCAGCAGGAGTGGGGTTAAGAATTCCAGCCCAGGGCTGGGCATGGTGACTCAGGCCTGAAATCCCAGCACTTTGGGAGGCCCAGGTGGGAGGATGGCTTGAGGCCAGGAGTTGCAGACCAGCCTGAGCAACATGAGGAGACCTCCGTCTCTTGTTTGTGTGTGTCGGCGGGGGGGTTGTTCTTTAAAAAAAAAAAAATGATAATAATTCCAGCTCAGTCCCACGATTAGACAACTTTAGAAAATATTGCTGTAGATGAGGGGTTCTGAAGCTTGGTTCGTGGGTCGTATCATATCCAGTTGGTTCTTGCCTCTGGTGACTGGTGTTAATTGGCAGGAATGGGGGGAGGGAGAACAAGTGGAGGTCTGGGCTGGCCTAGCTGTTCTGTCTCCCCCTTACCTCCTGAAGGTCACCAGGCTGTTCCCCCTCCCACAAAGTGGCCCAGTTGGGCTGGAGCTCAGATCCGATTTCCTTGGGAAGAGAAGTTCCTAAAACTGTGGCTTTTTAAAAAAGCAATTTATGTGAGACAGATTCGCAATTTCCATTAATGATCTCCTAAAGCGGGTAAACCAGGAAGCTGCTGGGTGAAAATAGGCTGTTGGTAATTCCTGAGTCATGTGACTCATTCTCTAAATAGACTAGAATATTTAACTTAAATCAGCGAGGAGAAACTCCATGAAGTTGTGTTCCTGTTTATACCAAACTTTACGTGCCTTTTCCTAAACCTGAAGCTGTGGGAGGTCTGGGGACAAGGCTGGGTCACCGACCTCACCTCCAACCTCTGGACTGCGCGGACCAAGAGCCCTGGGGTTGGGGATAGAGGAGGCTGCTTAGACCTGGGTAAGTGAATGGGCTGGAAGAAAATAAGTACAGTTCCCTGCCCTTGAGCAGCCTGCAATCTGAGCTGTGTGTTTTTGTTTTTGAGACAAGAATCTCAGTCTGTCGCCCAGGCTGGAGTGCAGTGGGGCAATCTCAGCTCACTGCGACCTCTGCCTCCTGGGTTCAAGCAATTCTCTTGCCTCAGCCTCCTGAGTAGCTGGGTCTATAGGTGCCCACTACCACACCTAGCCAATGTTTTGTATTTTTAGTAGGGACAAGGTTTTACCACGTTGGCCAGGCTGGTCTCGAACTCCTGACCTCAGGCAGTCTGCCCACCTTGGCCTCCAAATGTGTTGGGATTACAGCCACCGTGCCCAGCCTGGAACAGATCTTTATCCTCCTTCCAGGTCCTACTGTGCATCAGAGACCCTCTATCCTCTAATACCTCTGATTTCAGGAAGCAGTCATTTTTTTTTTCTTTTCTTTTTTTTTTTTTTTTGAGATGGTCTCAAAAAAAAAAGTGCATTGAGAGTGCATGCACTCTGTTGTCCAGGTTAGAGTGCACTTGTGGGTACCATTTACGGTTCACTGCAGCCTTGACCTTCCTCCTCCCACCTCAGCCTCCAAAGCAGCAGGGACCACAGGTGTGTGCCACCATACCTAGCTAGTTTTTTTTTTTTTTTTTTTTGAGGTGGAGTTTTGCTCGTTACCCAGGCTGGAGTGCAATGGTGCGATCTCGGCTAACCGCAACCTCTGCCTCCTGGGTTCAGGCAATTCTGCCTCAGCCTCCTGAGTAGCTGGGATTACAGGCACGCACCACTATGCCCAGCTAATTTTTTGTATTTTTGGTAGAGACGGGGTTTCACCATGTTGACCAGGATGGTCTCGATCTCTTGACCTAGTGATCCACCCGCCTCGGCCTCCCAAAGTGCTAGGATTACAGGCGTGAGCCACCGAGTCCGGCTACCTAGATAGTATTTTTTTATGATTTTGGTAGCGACGGGGTCTTCCTGTGTTGCCCAGGCTGGTCTTGAACTCCTAGTGTCAAGCGGTCTTCCCACCTTGGCCTCCCGAAGTGCTGGGATTACAGGCGTGAGTCACCAGGCCTGGTCAACAGTCGCTTTTATTACTCACTTCACTGGAGAGGAAAGCTCAGAGGCTAGCAAGTGGCCCGGGAGCATGCTCCCAGTGCTAAAAACTGCTGGAGTGACATTCTTCCACTGGCTCTCAATCCTGGCTATATGTTAAGAGTCAGAGGGGAGAACTTTTAAAAATTGCAGTGCTTGAACCTCACCCAGTCCAATTAAACAGAATCACCAGAGATGGATGGCTTTAAAAAAGATCTCCAGAAAGCTGGGCACTGCAGCTCATGCCTGTTATCCTAGCCCTTTGGGAGGTTGAGGTGGGTGGATCACTTGAGGTCAGGAGTACAAGACCAGCCTGACCAACATGGTGAAACCCCATCTCTTCTAAAAGAGAAATCGGAAATTAGCTGTGTGTGGTGGTGTACGCCTGTAATCCCAGCTACTTGGGAGGCTGAGGCAGGAGAATTGCTTGAACCCAGGAGGCGTAGGTTGCAGTGAGCCAAGATGTTACCATTGCTCTCCAGTCTGGGCAACAAGTGCGGAACTCTATCTCAAAAAAAAAAAATTTCCAGATGAGTCGTGTGTAGCCTGGGCCGTGAGTCTCTGCTTTAGACCAGAGCTGCTCAGACTTTTAACATGTGTGCAAGTCGTTGGTGGTCAAGTTATAATGCTGAGGATTCAGTGGCTTTGGGGTGGGGCCTGAGGCTGCATTGCTAACAAGCCTCCAGGTGGTGCCACTCTGCTCACTGCAGACGCCGTAGGCAGTGTGGTCACTGGTCAATTGCTAGTTAAGACTCACTATGGGCCAGTTGTGGTAGCTCATGCCTGTAATCCTAGCACTTTGGGAGGCTCAGGGAGGCAGATGAGCTCAGGAGTTTGAGACCACCCTGGGGATGACATGGTGAAACCCCATCTCTACTAAAATACAAAAAATTAGCCAGGCTTGGTGGCATGTGCCTGTAATTCCAGCTACTGGGAGGCTGAGGCATGAGAATTACTTGAATCCAGAAAACAAAACCAAACCAAACAACAACAAAAGAATTGCTTGAATCCGGGAGGTAGGTGGATGTTGCAGTGAGCCGAGATCGTGCCACTGCACGCCAGCTTGGGTGACAGAGTGAAAGTCTGTCTTTAAAAAAAAAAAAAAAAAAACTCACTGTATCAGCTACTCACAGTTGACCCTGAAGATTTCTGGGAAGTAGTGACTCATGACTTATTTATTAAGTTTTGCTATAAGTAGCAGAAGTTTACTTTTGAGTCAAGAGTCTGTGATCCAGTTTACTTTTTTTTTTTTAAGAAAAAAGAAGTAGGGCCTTGCTGTGTTGCCCCAGCTGGTCTTGAACCCCTGGCCTCAAGCCATCCTCCCACCCTCAGCCTCCCAAAGTGTTGTGATTACCGGTGTGAGCCACCCCTCTCAGCCAGGAGCCCCTCTTTTAACTAGATGACGAACCTGGTTTCTGCTTTGGACAGGCTATTTAGTTCTCTGCCCATTTAGCCTCATGGTGGGAGAGACGCTGGTGGGATTTTGGGAGAAAGCTGGCTGTGGTTCTTGCAGGAGCCTCACGACACCTGAGGGAGGTGTGATCAGGCAGGACTGGCGTCTACACTGAGACTCAACTAGGACAGGCCTCAAAAGCAGGGACTGAAGGGAGATGGGTTGGTGAGTGGATTTGGGGAGTTGGGGCCAAGCCTGAGGGCTGGGCAGAATCTTTCAAAGGTCAACGCAGTCCATGCCATTGTCTTTAGAGGGCCCTGATCTATTGGAAGTAAAATGCTCTAACTGCACATGCCATCTGGAAGGAAACTACAAAAACCTAAATCTGAGACTTGTCAGGAACGTGCTGCTGAGTCAAAGGGTTTCCCTGGCTCACCTCCATGGATGGCGAGGGTAGAAGGCAAGACCTGTCCTGGCTGAACCTGGCAGGTGGTCTAGGCAGAAGGCTCAGGTTTGGGGTATGGCAGGTGGGCAGTCAGGGAGGTGAGGTGGGGTCCCAGTACCAATGCAGGGGCAGTTGGCGAGGGCTTGGCCTCAGAACAAGGCAGGAGTCCAGCCATGAGGATGACTTGCTAAGTCACCGGGCTGAGCTGGGCGCGGCACTCAGCCCCCCTGACTGGGCCCAGCTGGGGCAGCAGATGGTGAAGCGGCCTCAGCTGTGGGGGGTATGGGGGGGGTCATCAGTCAATGAGCCAATGGAGGCTGTTCCCGGAGCCCGCTTCCAACCTTGCATGGCCTTCTAGAGTTCAGATCTTCCCTGGGGGGGCCTCAGAGCCCTGTCCGTACCTCCGCTCAGAGCCCCAGCCTTCCTCTTCTCCCATCTGGTTTCCTGGCCAGGTTTCTGCCCTGCAGAGAACCCACCAAGGGAGCAGTGGAAAAAGCTTCGCTTGGCAGTGAAGCCCCTACTTGCTGTTCCATCCCTGCAGCTGGGATGAAACAAGACTTGCCACTGACAAGTAAACAACCGAGGCTTAAACCAGCATGCCAGGTCAGGTGGGGAGCCCCAGGCACTGGTTACATTCCCTAGATCCCACACTGGATAGGAAAGTTGGGCCTCAGGCACTCTTCCCTCCTCTGCAGTCAGACAATGTGGATGAAGAGCCAGGCTCTGTTACGAGTGCTTTATGTGCTCTGTTGATGATGTTATCTATTCTCATTTTGTAGATGAGGAAATAGGCAAGGGTGGTCAAGGGACTTGTCCAAGATCACCGATACCATAATGGTGAGATCCAAGATTCAGGCATCCTGGCTGGGCACGGTGGCTCCACCTGTAATCCCAGTGCTTTTGGAAGCTAAGGCTGGATGATGACTTAAGGCTAGGATTTTGAGACCAACCTGGACAACAAAGACCTTACACCTACAAAAAATTAAAAATTAGCTAGGTGTGGTCATATGTACCTCCAGTCCCAGTTACTCGGGAGGCTGAGATGGTCCCTTGAGCTGAGGAGTTCAAGGCTGCAGTCAGCCATGATTACACCACTGCACTCCAGCCTGGGCAACAAAGAGACCTTATCCTCCCCTCCCCCTCTCCAAAAAAAAAAAAGTCCAGATCCAGGCAGTCCCAGCCCTCTGGACTCTAGGAAGTTCTCTTTCTAGAACTGCGCCCAGTATTGTAGAGCAACTGGGGAGTGAAATCAAAGCTGAGCAGGACGGGTCAATAGGAAGAAAAGACAAGGTCCCCTTAAGCGTGGTGAGAGGAGGGCCGGGTGTGGTGGCTCACGCCTGTAATCCCAGCACTTTGGGAGGCCGGGGTGGGTGGATAACAAAGTGGGGAGTTTGAGACCAACCCAACCAACATGGTGAAACCCCATCTCTACTGAAAATACAAAAATTAGCCAGGCATGGTGGTGTGTGCCTGTAGTCCCACCAACTCCGGGGAGGCTGAGGCAGGAGAATCGCTTGAACCCAAGAGGTGGAGGTTGCAGTGAGCGGAGATCACGCCACCACACTCCTGCCTGGGCAACAGAGCAAGACTTGTCTCAGAAAAAAAAAAAAAGTGGGAACTGACTGTTAGACAAGCCACCCTCCTACAAATGAAGGGAAAGTAACTGAACAAAAATGAGCAACAGAAAAGTATCAAGTTCAGATCTCATACAAAGTTGCAAGATGAAAGACTGAGCAGCAGTCTGCCTGTGGTGTGGAGTGTGCCAGGAAAACATCCAAACTGTAACCTCTTTCAAAATGAGGGAAGGCAGTAAGGAAGCAATATAAAAGCATGGAAACCGCCCATCAGAGTTGTAAGCCCTGGCAGTCCAGTTCAGAATGGATGCCCCTAATGATGGGACCATGATGCCTCTCTAGAAAGAAAGGACCAGGCGTTCCACCGGGCTTCTAGTCCCAGTAGTACCACTAACTTGCTGTGTGGCCTTGAAGGATTCATTGTCCCTATCTGGATCTCAACTATTTAGAACTCCATTGTCCAGTATGGGATCAACCAGCCATGTTTGGCAATTTAAATTAAAATCACCTGGGTGTAGTAGCGCACACCTCTAATCCCAGCACTTTAGGAAGCTGAGGCGGGAGGATTGCTTGAGCACAGGAGTTCGATACCAGCCTAGGCAACATAGTAGGATCTCATCTCTGCAAAAAAAAAAAAAAAAGAAAAAATTAGCTAGGCCTGGTGGCACGTACCTCTAATCCCAGCTAATTGGGAGGCTGAGGTGGGAGGATTGCTTGAGCCTGGAGGTTGAGGCTGCAGTGAGCCATGATTGTGCCACTTCACTCCTGCCTGGGCAACAGAACAAGATCTTGTCTCAAAAAATAATTTAGAAATTTATTTCCTCAGATGCACCAGCCACATTTTATTTTTTCCAAGATGGAGTATTGCTGAGTTCCATCCGGGATCCCTCTCATGAGCGGTGGGCCAGGTCTTCACATTCACCCCAGGATTACTGAAAAAATAGGAACGGGAGTGGGGGTATAGACACAGCTCATGCAAACATTTCCTTGTGTTTGTTTGCTATGGCTGAATCCTAGCCACTGCACTACCTGAGGCATACAGATGTTCTTTGGCTATGGGCTGATGTTTGAATACAGCTGGGGCCTCAGCATTCTCAAAGCCTGTGAACAGGCAGAGCCGCTGCCTGTTACATGCTGGACAAGGCCACGTCACTGTCTCTGTGGCTCCCCACTCTCCCAGCTTGCTGTACTTCTCCACCTTAGGGACTGGGAGTGCCTTGATCTGAAGCCCTTTGCAGTGCTGGTAGCAGTGTAGGGGAAGTAGTTGATGGGAGTGAGGGAACAGAATGGGCAAGGAAGCCTGGATCTTTGTGGCTCACTGCATCCAGCAGTTCTTGGCAAAGGTGTGGTCAGGATAGGCTGTGTCATCTTGGGTGGGGTGAAGACAGGGAGCAGTGGCATGCAGATACGGACAGGGAATAGTGTGGTAGCCTGGCTGGAGAAGGTAGGGCCATATCCCACTGAGGGCCTGTCTCCAGACTCATGCCTGCCCCAGCCCAGGCTCCCCAGTCTCATCCTGTGTCCTCTCCCCTACCTGCCAGTCATCTTCTGGTGAGCTCTGGGCTTAGGAGTCACCATGGCAACTGAAGAGTTCCTCATCCGCATCCCCCCATACCACTACATCCATGTGCTGGACCAGAACAGCAATGTGTCCCGTGTGGAGGTCGGGCCAAAGACCTACATCCGGCAGGACAATGAGAGGTGGGTGTTGGGGAGACTCGGGGCTGTGGGGAAGAATCAGGCCAGTGGGGGCCTGTGAGTCTGGCTGGCGTGATCATCCTTTTCCTCCTCCCTGTTCCTAAGCAGGAGTGGCCCTCACTTGGGTGATAGAAAAGTTTCTCTCATTTGGTGTCCCCTGTGGTAGTGGAGACCTGGTCCCCGGTCCTCACGCCTCACATCTCTTCTCATCTTCCTGCAGGGTACTGTTTGCCCCCCTGCGCATGGTGACCGTCCCCCCACGCCACTACTGCACAGTGGCCAACCCTGTGTCGCGGGATGCCCAGGGCTCAGTGCTGTTTGATGTCACAGGGCAAGTTCGGCTTCGCCACGCTGACCTCGAGATCAGACTGGCCCAGGACCCTTTCCCCCTGTACCCAGGGGAGGTGCTGGAAAAGGTACGTGGCTTCCTCACTCCCTCTGCCCCACCCTACCTATGCTTCACCTGCCTTGGGCTCTGGACTGCCTTTTAAAAAAAAAAAATTTTTTTTCAAGATGCTGTTAATTTTTTTTTTTTTAGGCAGCATTTTGCTCTTATTACCCAGGCTGGAGTGCAATGGCATGATCTCAGCTCACTACAACTACTGCCTCCTGGGTTCAAGCAATTCTCCTGCCTCAGCCTCCCAAGTAGCTGGGATTATAGGCACCTGCCACCACACTCGGCTAATTTCTGTAGTTTTGGTAGAGACAGGGTTTTACCATGTTGGCCAGGCTGGTCTCAAACTCCTGACCTCAGGTGATCTGCCCTCCTTGGCCTCCCAAAGTGCTGGGATTACAGGTATGAGCCACTGCACCCGGCCTGTACTGCCTTCTTAAGGGGAAACAAACCAAGGCAGTGGGAGGGGTGGGCAGAGACACTTGCCGGCTCTCACCAGGGGTGGAATTGAACTGCCTGTACTTGCCCACCTCCAGCCACCCCTGTCCTGCACACATGTCCCAAACACAGCTGCTGCTTTTCTGAGAACTGTCAGCCCATCTCATCCACTAATTTCCCAGGCTCCAGAGCCTGCCAGAAGTGCCCAGCCAGTCTGGCATTAAATAACATGTGCCAAGGTTAAGCACTTCATTCACCCAGTGCCAGACACTGGTGGGCAGTGCCAAAGCAGCAGTGACAAGCCCAGGCCTGGGCTGTGCCTGTTCTAGGAGAAGCCATCACAGGCCTGAACCTGCAGCCAGCCTCTTGTCCCCCTTGGCCTCAGGCCTGGGCCTGAGCAGGTGAGCGTCCCTCCTTTATTCCCTTACCTGTTCTCCCATCTTTACCTTCTGGCCATTCAATGATTTTTTACTGACTTTACTAACCTGCGCTGCTTGCTCCTGAATGCATAATGGCAGGAACTGGGGAGCTTTTAGAGACATTCATGTCCACTTAGGTGCGGACAGTTTTGGGGAAGAAGCGTGTGTGGAGAGAGAAAATGAAGAATGATTAAGATGATACCCCTTAAGGAATCCAAGTAAAGAGTATATAGATATTTTCATACTTTTTTTTTTTTTTTTTGAGACTGGATCTCCTCCTGTTGCCTAGACCGGAGTGCAGTGGAATGATCAGAGCTCACTCAGCCTTGATCTCCCAAGGATCCTTGTGCTCAAACGATCCTTCCATCCTTGTTCTCCCAAAATTCTGGGATTAAAGGCGTGAGCCCCCATGACCTGACTAAGCTTTCATTTTAAAGAATACTTTCGGCCGGGCACAGTGGCTCATGCCTGTAATCCCAGCACTTTGGGAGGCTGAGGTGGGTGGAATACTTGAGGTCAGGAGTTCAAGACCAGCCTGGCAAACATGGCGAAACCCCATTGCTACTAAACATACAACAATTAGCCAGGTGTGGTGGCCTGCACCCGTAATCTCGGCTACTCAGGAGGCTGAGGCATGAGAATCCCTTGAACCTGGAGGCAGAAGTTGCAGTGAGCTGATATCATGCTACTGCACTCCAACCTGGGTGACAAAGTAAGACTCTGTCTCGAAAAAAAAAAAAAAAAAATAAGCTGGTAGTAGTAACATACACTTGTAATCCCAGCTACTCAGGAGGCTGAGGCAGGAGGATCACATGAGCCTGGAAGGTTGAGGCTGTTGTGAGCCATGGTTATACCACTGCAGTCCAGCCTGGATCTGGATGACACAGACCCTGTGCCCCCTCCCCCCCAAAAAAGCCAGCTCTTCCTTTGAGCCCCAGTTTCAGTTCAAAGGGCCTTCTCTAACTTCTCCTTCATCTGAACACCTGAAGAACCTCTCACCCTGAGAGTATCTGTAGTCTGCTGGGACAGAATGGTTGGCATCTGTATGTTATCACTCTGCTGGAACCTAAACTTCATGAAGATGGGATATGTTCTCGCCACCACAACCAGGGTGCCCTGTAGGAAGGGGGTAAGCAGGGAAAGGCGCTCAGAGCAGCAAGCCTCCACCCTGCTCTCTAGCCAGTGTGTGGCCAGTGGGTGGAGTGGGGTCGCTCTGCCCACTCCTCCAGCCTGGGACCAGCCTCATCAGAGTCAGGCGCAGGGCAGACTTCACTCAAGACCAGAGTTCAAGTCTTGATTCTGTTTCTCACTAGCTATGTAATCTTGGTCATGTCTTCTGATCTTTTATTTTATTTTTTTTGAGACAAGGTCTTGCTCTGTCTCAAAAGAGACAGACTGGAGTGCAGTGGTACAGTTGTAGCTCACTGAAGCTTTAACCTCCTGGGCTCAAGTGATCCTCCTGCCTCAGCCTCCCGAGTAGCTGGGATTACAGGTGTGGACCACCATGCCTGGCTAAATTTTTTTTTGTAAAGATGGGGTCTTGCTATGTTGTCCAGGCTGGTCTTGAATGTCTGAGCTCAAGTGATCCTCCTACCTCAACCTCCCAAAGTGCTGGGATGACAGGCGAGAGCCACCATGCCCGGCCTCTATCCTGGTCTTATTTCAGGACATGCAGAGATGGATGCTGTGGACCTGCCTCCAGAGCATCAGGTGTGGCCCTGGTGTCACAGCACTGACTGTTCTGTGTCACCACCTTCTTCCCCACTAGGACATCACACCCCTGCAGGTGGTTCTGCCCAACACTGCCCTCCATCTGAAGGCGCTGCTCGATTTTGAAGATAAAGATGGAGACAAAGTGGTGGCCGGAGACGAGTGGCTCTTTGAGGGACCTGGTAAGTTCTGTCTCCGCGGAGCCTAAGTTGGGGTCAGGGGCTCCCTGCCTTCCTGCCATAGCCCTGATACCTTCTGACCATCACCTTCCACGTCCTCTTCCCTCCCCAGGCACGTACATCCCCCGGAAGGAAGTGGAGGTTGTGGAGGTCATTCAGGCCACCATCATCAGGCAGAACCAGGCTCTGCGGCTGAGGGCCCGCAAGGAGTGCTGGGACCGGGACGGCAAGGAAAGGGTGACAGGTGGGGCACCAAGGGGCGATGACGGCAGGTGGGCAGGAGGGACCCCCACTGCAGGGAAAACATGGGAAAGTTGAGGAAAGCCTCCTGTAGCCCCAGAGAGGTGCTTTCCTGGTATCTCTTTAAAGCTGTTAAGGGCTGCCCACTGCCGTTCTTTCCCCACCCCTGCTTTATGCTGTTTCCACTTGGGTCGGAAAACGTGACCATGATCGTGGGGCCTGAAGTGGCTTTTTCTTTCCCCACCTTCACCGTGAGCTGTGGGTGGTGGCCATGTGTTATTTGATTCTGGATCAACAGAGCACATGTTTAAATACAGTTGACAAATGTAGGCCAGCAGGTACGGTGGCTCACACCTGTCGTCTCAGTACTTTGCCTAGGTGGTGGATTGCTTGAGCCCAAGAGCTCAAGACCAGCTTGAGCAACACAGTGAGACCCCGTCTCTACAAATAATTTAAAAATTAGCCGGGCATTGTGGCATGTGTCTGTAGTCCCAGCTACTTGGAAGGCTGAAGTGGGAGGATTGCTTGAGCCTAGGAGGTGGAGGCCGCAGTGAGCTGTGATTGCACCACTGCACTCCATCCTGGGCAACAGAGGTACTACCTCGAGCCACTACCCTTGTCATTTTCTGTATAACAAAACTGGGACGCAGAATGCAGGTTGCTTGCCCTGGGTTGTGACCAGGCAGGGCAAGGCTGGGACCTGCATCCAGGCACTCTGGCTTCCCCAGTAAACCCAAGGACATCCACAGCTCTACCAGAGGCAGTTCTGCTGCCCGTTTTAGGAGAAGGACAAAGTTGGTCTTTGGAGCTTAGAGAAGGCAAAGCACGCTGTCCACATAGCGCAACTTGGGCCTCTTAGGAAGGTTTATAGACCAGGTGCGGTGGCTCACGCCTGGAATCCCAGCACCTTGGGAGGCCAAGGTGGATGGATCACTTGTGGCTGGGAGTTTGAGACCAGCTTGGGCAAGATGGTGAAATCCCATCTGTACAAAAAATACAAATATTAGCCAGGCATTGTGGCGCGTGCCTGTAATTCTAGCTACTCAAGAGGCTGAGGCTTGAGAATCAGTTGAACTCAGGAGGCTGAGGTTGTTGCAGTGAGCTGAGATCGCAGCCTGGGTGACAGAAGGAGACTCTGTCTCAAAAAAAAAAAGGCTTTTAAAATTCAACTGGGGTGGGAGTTTGTTTTCCTCTGGCTTCAAAAGAGTGAATAAGAGGACTACAATCGGGACCTTGAGCCTGGGCCAGTGGTGTCTCTTTGCCAATGAAATCTGCCAACCCCTTGAGTCTAGGCTGTGGGAGTCAGGTGGGGAGCAGGCTGGGGGACCCTCGTCGTTTACCCTCCACTCTCGGCCCAGGGGAAGAATGGCTGGTCACCACAGTGGGGGCGTACCTCCCAGCGGTGTTTGAGGAAGTCCTGGATTTGGTGGATGCCGTGATCCTTACAGAAAAGGTTGGTGCTCAGGGGGCTGTGGTTTAAGGGACCTGGGGCTGGGGAACCTTCTGAGAGGCAGAGAATGGTGGCAGGATGGCATGAGAGTAAAAGAGAAGCAATAATTTTAGGGTCACTTAAAAAAATTTCAGAGATCAGATTACCCAAGGAGTATTCTAGATCATCTGAAGGGTTAAATAGTCCTTCCTGGGCTACGCAAAGTGGCTCGAATCTGTAATCTCAGCAATTTGGAAGGCTGAGAGGGGAGAATCACTTGAGGCCAGAAGTCTGAGACCAGCCTGGACAACATGGTGAGAACTCACCTCTACAAAAAATTTTAAAACTAGTTGGGTGTAGTGGAGCGTGCCTATAATCCCAGCTACTCCAGAGGCTGAGGCAGGAGAATTGCCTAAACCCGGAAGGCAGAGGTTGCAGTGAGCCGTGGTCATGCCACTGCACTCTAGCCTGGGAGACAGAGCAAGACTCTGTCTCAAAAAAAAAAAAGCTGGCCGGGCGCAGTGGCTGACGCCTATAATCCTAACACACTTGGGGAGGCCAAGGTGGGTGGATCACCTGAAGTCAGGAGTTTGAGACCAGACTGGCTAACATGACAAAACCTTTTCTCTACTAAAAATACAAAAGTTAGCCAGATGTGGTGGTGCGTGCCTGTAATCCCAGCTACTCTGGAGGCTGAGGCAGGAGAATCGCTTGAACCCAGGAGGTGGAGGTTGCAGTGACCCAAGATCGTACCATTGCACTCCTGCCAAGGCAACAAGAATGAAACTCCGACTCAAAACCAAAAAATAAAAAAAAGCCCTTGATTGGTAGAAATTTTCTCTGAGACCTGGGAGCATTTGGTGGCTAATGGGACTCGCAGATCCCCTGAAGTTGGAGGCAGGTCACTCAAATACCCAAATCTTGCTCTGCAGACAGCCCTGCACCTCCGGGCTCGGCGGAACTTCCAGGACTTCAGGGGAGTGTCCCGCCGCACTGGGGAGGAGTGGCTGGTGACAGTGCAGGACACGGAGGCCCACGTGCCAGATGTCCACGAGGAGGTGCTGGGGGTTGTGCCCATCACCACCCTGGGCCCCTGCAACTACTGTGTGATTCTGGACCCCATCGGACAGGATGGCAAGAATCAGCTGGGGCAGAAGCGTGTGGTCAAGGTGAGGACCCGGCCCCCACCCCCCACCACCACACAGAGGATGACCCTGGGAGGTGAATGCCCTCGAGTAGCACGAGACCCTCTGCCCTTTCTCCCTTCTTTCCTTCAGACGCACGTTCTAGGAACACCTTCTGTGTCTTTGCATGCTTAGTTCTCACGCGCCTGGGACACTGGCCCATTTGATTCCTGGCAGTCTCCAACTTACCCTTCAGACCTGAAGTTACTTCCCCTTCTGGGAAGGTCTTCTGGCTGCCCCCCAGCCCAAGACCCTGAAACTCTGATACAGTCGTGTGTCACTTAACAATGGGATGCATTCTGAGAAATGGTCGTTAGATAATTTTGTCTTTGTGCAAATGAGTGCACTTATGTAAACCTAGATGGCACAGCCTACTATACACCTAGGCTAGATGACGTAGCCTGCCCCGAGGCTGCCCACCTGCGCAGCATGTGACTGTCCTGAATACTGCAGGCAGCTGAACACAATGGTAAGTACTTGTGTATGTAACCATAGAAAAGGTACTGTAAAAATACAGTATAAGGCCAGCTGCAGTGGCTCATGCCTGTAATCCCAGCACTTTGGGAGGCTGACGCAGGTGGATCACTTGAGGTCAGGGGTTTCAAACCAGCCTGGCCAACATCGGGAAATCCCGTCTCTACTAAAAATGCGAAAGCGTGCTGGGTGTGGTGGTACACACATGTAATTCCAGTTACTTGGGAGGCTGAGGCACAAGAATTGCTTGAACCCAGGAAGTCGAGCCTGCAGTGAGCCAAGATTGTGCCGTTGGACTCCAGCCTGGGTGACAGAGGGAGACTGTCTCAAAAAAAAAAAAAAAAACAAAAAAACCCCAAAGCTCCATTATAATCTTACGGGACCACCATGTGCAGTCAGTAGTGGCCTGAATTAGCACGTGGTGACTATTTCACATCTTTTATGTTCTGGTATTCGCTTCGCTTTGTCATCTCTTGTAAAACAAAACTCTGTGTGTACCCTCTCCCACCCCATACCGCATCCCCTCTCCGAACTATATGTGGGATTACCAGGAGTTGCCAAACTCATTCTGTAAAGGGGGCTGGATGGTAGATATTCCAGGCTCCATGAGTCATTTCCGTGGAAGTTCTTCCACTCGGCTGTTACGTCCAGAAAGCAGCACGGGCAGTACGTAAACAAGTGAGTACTGCTGCATTCCTGGAATATTTCATTTGCAAAAAACAGGAGGCAGGAAAAGTAGAAATAGGCCGGGGTTAGTGGCTCCCACCTGTAATCCCAGCACTTTGTGTGGCTAAGGTTGGCGGATCACCTGAGGTCAGGAGTTGGAAACCAGCCTGGCCAACATGGCGAAACCCTGTCTCTACTAAAAATACAAAAAAATTATCTGGGTGTGGTATCAGGTGCCTGTAATCCCAGCTACTCTGGAGGCTGAGGCAGGAGAATCACTTGAACCCGGAAGGTAGAGGTTGCAGTGAGCCGAGATTGCACCGCTGCACTCCAGCCTGAGTGACAGAGTGAGACTCTGTCTAAAAAAAAAAAAAAAAAAGAGTAGAAATAACCCAAATGTACACCATTTAACGAATAGATAAAAAATTGTGGCATATCCATACAATGGAATATCATTCAGTCATAAAAAAGAAATGGCAGGCCAGGCACAGCAGCTCATGACTATAATCCCAGCTCTTTGAGAGGCCGAGGCAGAGGATTACTTGAAGCCAGGAGTTAGAGACTAGCCCTGGGTAACATAGCGAGACTCCATTTTTACTTTTTTTTGGAAACAATCTCACTCTGTCACCCAGGCTGGAGTGCAGTGGCGTGATCTGGGCTCACTGCAACCTCCGCTTCCTGGATTCAAGCAATTCTCCTGCCTCAGCCCCACAAGTAGCTGGGATTACAGGTGCCTGCCACCACGCCCAGCTAATTTTTGTGTTTTTAGTAGAGATGGGGTTTCACCATGTTGGCCAGGCTGAGCGAGACCCCACTTTTACAAATATTTTTAAAAACTGGCCAGGCATGGTGGCACACTGGTAGTCTCAGCTACTTGGGAGGCTGAAGTGGGAAAATTACTTAATTCCAGGAAGTGGAGACCATACTGTGCCACTGTACTCCAGCCTGAGGCAACAGAGTGAGATCCTGTCTCTAGGAAAAAGAAAACAACGAAATGACATAATTTTATGTGCTACAACATGGATTAAAATTGATAAACATTATAATAAGTGAAAGAAGCTGGCTGGGCGTGGTGGCTCAAACCTGTAATTCTAACAGTTTGGGAGGTGGAGGCAGGCAGATCACCTCAGGTCAGGAGTTCAGACCAGCCTTGCCAACATGGTGAAACCCCATCTCTACTAAAATACAGAAATTAGCCAGGCATGATGGCGGGTACCTGTAATCCTAGCTACTCAGGAGGCTGAGGTAGAAGAATCGCTTGAACTGGGAGACAGTGGTTGCAGTGAGCCAAGATCGCACCACTGCACTCCAGCCTAGGTGGCTGAGCAAGACTCTGTCTCAAAAAAAAAGAAAAAAGCCAGACATCAAAACCACATGTTGCATGATTCCATTAATATGAAATGTCCAGAATAGGTAAATAAAGAAAATAGACGAGTGTTGGGTGGGGAGTAGCAGTAACTTCTACTAGGTACAGGATTTCTTTTCAGGGCGATGATGAAAATATTCTAGACTTACATAGTAGTGATGGGCGGACAACTTCGAGCATCATAAAACAACTGAATTGTATACTCTAGATGGGAAAATTTCATATGTGGATTATAGCTCAATAACATTTTTAAAAAAACAGGCGGTGCTGGGCATGGTCGCTCATGTCTATAATCTTAGCACTTTGGGAGGCCAAGGCAGGTGGACTGCTTGAGCCCAGGATTTTGAGACCAGCCTAGGCAACATGACAAAACCCCGTCTCTACCAAGCACACAAAAATTAGCTGGGTGTGGTGACACACATCTGTAGTCTCAGCTCCTTGGGAGGCTGAGGTAGGAGGATTGCTTGAGCGTGGAAGGCTGAGGCTACAGTGAGCTGAGATGGTGCCACTGCACTCCAGCCTGGACAGCAGAGCAAGACCCTATCACACCCCCCAAAAAAAGAAAAAAGCGGAATCCAGATTTGGCCTGAAAACCAGAAGTTGTCAAGCCTTAGGTTACACCCTCTCTAGAAAACAAAGCATGGGAGAAAGGAGAAAAAAGAGGTTGATTTTTAATGGTTTAGCTTGTGTGGACCTGACAGTTTATGGAATCTTTCAAGGACACATTTGACCAGATGAGATCTGGCAGGCATTGCATAGAGCTTCACCGTATTATGATGTGGGGGTGGGTGTGCTTCTGGGGCTCCTGTCCTCCACACAGGCCTGAGACAGCACAGGGCTGGGGAGGTGCCATCTGAGGCATCTGCAAGCCTAAAGGCACTGGTGCTAACCTCTTGTCTCTCCATTAGGGAGAAAAGTCTTTTTTCCTCCAGCCAGGAGAGCGACTGGAACAAGGCATCCAGGATGTGTACGTGCTGTCAGAGCAGGAGGGGCTGCTGCTGAGGGCCCTGCAGCCCCTGGAAGAGGGGGAGGATGTGGAGAAGGTCTCACGCCAGGCTGGGGACCACTGGCTCATCCGCGGACCCCTGGAGTATGTGCCATCTGCCAAGGTGGAGGTGGTGGAGGAGCGCCAGGCCATCCCTCTAGATGAGAACGAGGGCATCTATGTGCAGGATGTCAAGACCGGAAAGGTAATGGCTGGGGGTGGGCGGCAGTGCTGCCACGTGGCTGTGGCATTGGCCTTGGTGGTGGCTTCCTCTGGGCACCTGGGAGAGGTGGGTAGGAACTTCAGCAGATGGAGAGCCGCATCAGGTAGGCTGTCTGGTCGGGGGAGGGCACTCCGTGGAGTATTTGCCATCCTTCTGCCTTAAATATCTTGTTTGAAGTGTTAGAACCAGCCGGGTGCAGTGGCTCACTACTGTAATCCCAGCACTTTGGAAGGCCAAGGTGGGTGGATCACCTGAGGTCAGGAGTTCAAGACCAGCCTGGCCAACAAGGTGAAACCCCATTTCTACTAAAAATACAAAAACGAGCCAGGCATGGTGGTGGTCCGGGTAGTCTTAGCTGCCCGGGAGGCTGAGGGAGGAGAATTGCTTGAATCTAGGAGGCAGAGGTTGCAGTGAGCCGAGATCACACCACTGCACTCTGGTCAGGACAACAGAGTGAGACTCCATCTTAAAAATAAAAGGCCGGGCGTGGTGGCTCAAGTCTGTAATCCCAGTACTTTGGGAGGCCGAGGTGGGTGGATCACAAGGTCAAGAGATCAAGACCATCCTGGTCAACATGGTGAAACCCCATTTCTACTAAAAATACAAAAAATTAGCTGGGCATGGTGGTGCATGCCTGTATTCCCAGCTACTCGGGAGGCTGAGACAGGAGAATTGCTTGAACCCCGGAGGTGGAGGTTGCCGTGAGCTGAGAACGCGACATTGCACTCAAGCCTGGGTAATGAGCGAAAACTCCGTCTCAAAAAAAAAAAAAAGAAAAGAATAAAAAAAAAGTTAGAACCTCCCCTAAGAAGACAAGCAGGGATTTAGGACAGGGACCCTGTCTCACAGCAGACCTGGTCCCCAGCATAAAGGTCTAATGGAGTGGCCAGGGAAAGAAGGACCTCCTCCCCTTTGCCCATATGCCAGTAGAATCTTTCATTTTTGCTACTTCACCTAAAACCTTGACCTTGATTTCACCTTGGGCCACATCTCCAACCTTCTCTAAGAATCCAAGCTGGAAGTCCAGCTGGGAACCCAAGGGAGTGTCCGTGTACATGGCCTACTTCACAGTCCCTGGGGTGCCCTCCAAACTGCCCCTTGAAGGAAGATTCTTTTTTTTTTTTGAGATGGAGTCTCACTCTGTTGCCCAGGCTGGAGTGCAGTGGCACTATCTTGGCTCACTGTAACCTCTGCCTCCTGGGTTCAAATGACTCTCCTGCCTCAGCCTCTTGAGTAGCTGGGACTATAGGCATCTGCCACCATGCTTGGCTAATTTATTTTTAGAATAGACAGGGTTTCACTGTGTTGCCTAGCTGGTTTCAAACTCCTGAGCTCAGGCAGTCCACCCACCTCGGCCTCCCAAAGTACTAGGATTACAGGCATGAGGCCACTGCACCTTGCCAGAAAATTCTAGAAATAACATTGAGCACCTTCTCTGTGCAAGGGTTGTTGGAGGTAGATGTGGGAGATGTCATCCACCCTTCCACCCCTGGAGGTAGCCACTCTCAAGTCTACTTGACAGAGGAGGAAACTGAAGCCGTAGGGGTGAGGTAGTTAGCCCACCACGACAGGGTCAGCAGATGGCAAACGCGGGGTGGACCCTGCCCTCCCCACGGAGGCCATGTTTAACCTTGCGCCACACTTTCCCTGGATGGGCTGTGCTTCGGGACCAGTGGACGGGTCTTCCTCCCTTCCACCCTCACTGGCAGCATCCCTCCCTGTCCTCACCCCAAGGTGCGGGCTGTGATCGGAAGCACCTACATGCTGACGGAGGATGAAGTCCTGTGGGAGAAGGAGCTGCCTCCCGGGGTGGAGGAGCTGCTCAACAAGGGGCAGGACCCTCTGGCGGACAGGGGTGACAAGGGCACAGCTAAGAGCCTCCAGCCCTCTGCGCCCCGGAACAAGACCCGCGTGGTTAGCTACCGTGTGCCCCACAATGCTGCCGTGCAGGTGTATGACTACCGAGCAAAGCGAGCCCGGTGAGCACTGGTGGGGCTGGGCAGGGTGTGGGGGCGGCTCTCCATGGGTCTGGCTCTGACCCCCAGCTCTCTCTGCAGTGTGGTCTTTGGGCCTGAGCTGGTGTCGCTGGGTCCTGAGGAGCAGTTCACGGTCCTGTCCCTTTCAGCCGGGCGGCCCAAGCGTCCCCACGCCCGCCGTGCGCTCTGCCTGCTGCTGGGGCCTGACTTCTTCACAGACGTCATCACCATTGAAACGGCGGATCATGCCAGGCTGCAACTGCAGCTGGCCTACAACTGGTAAAAACAGCGATCAGGGGGTGCACTACTGAAATCCCAGCACTTTGGGAGGCTGAGGTGGGAGGATCACTTGAGCCTGGGAGGTCCAGGCTACAGTGAGCTATGATGCCCCCACTATACTCCAGCCTAGGTGACAAAGCAAGACCCTATCTTAAACCAAACCGGGTGGGGAACAGTGGGTGAGGGCTCCTGCTGGATGCAGCCCAGGAACCCCAAGAAAAAGAGGTGCCTGCTCAAGTACAGGACACCTCCTTCAGTCCCGAGGTCAAGAGGGAACCCGGGAAGTCACGCAAATACAGGGAAGCGTGGGCTCACCTCCTGGGATCAGGACTCGGGGACCCAGGAGCAAGACACCACACAGTTAAGCTCCTTTCGTGCCTGCAGCCATGCTTAATGCCAGGCTGTTAAAAGATGCAAGGGACACACCCAGCGGAAGTGGGCGGTGCCAGCGGGCAATGAGAACACATGCTCTGAAACTGACCACCCTGGCCTGTGCCCCAGCCCTGCTGTTTGCAGCCTGTGGACCTGGGCAAGGGGCAGGGTGCGTTCCTCAGTTTCTCTATTAGTAACATGAAGAAAACAGCATTACTTCCTTCACAAAGCTGTTGAAAGGATGCAACGAGCATTAGAACAGTGCCCCAAATATGGTCAGAGCTCAATGGTAGCTATTAGGATTAGGTGAGATAAGTCATGACAGAAATAGTGTTCATGACCAGGGACAGTGCCCTGTGAACCCAGCACTTTGGGAGGTTGAGGCAGGAGGATTGCTTGAGGCTAGAAGTTTGAGACCAGGCTGGGCAACAAAAAAATTTTAAAAACTACCTCGGCATGGTAGCTGTCTGTAGACCCAACTACTTGGGAAGCTGAGGTGGGAGAATTTGAGGGTGCCCAGGAATTTGAGGGTGCAGTGAGCTATGATTATGCCGCTGCACTCCGGCCTGAACAACAGAGGGAGACCCTGTCTTAAAGGGAGGAAGGGAAAAAAAAAAGGAAAGAAAAGAAGCTAGGCATGGTGGCTCATGCCTGTAATCCCAGCACTTTGGAAGACCGAGGCAGGCAGATCACTTGAGGTCAAGACCAGCCTGGCCAATGTGGTGAAACCCTATCTCTACTAAAAATACAAAAATTAGCTGGATGTGGTAGTGGGCACCTGTAATCCTAGCTACCTAGGGGGCTGAGGCAGGAGAATCGCTTGAACCTGGGAGGTGGAGGTTGCAGTGAATCGCGATGATGCCACTGCACTCCAGCCTGGGAGACAGAGCGAGATTCTGTCTCCAAAAAGAATGTTTAACACTCCCAAGCATGTCCCTCACCTCTTAGCGGGAAGCAGCCAGTGCCCGGATGGCAGCGGACAGCTGCTGACATATACCCAGGCACTATAGCATCATAGTTGAGACAACAGGCCCCTGGGGCAGCTGCCTGCTTCGGCTTTCTGGTTTGCCACATGGTATATGGCCTTGGGGCAGTCACTTGACCTCTCTGGACCTCTACTTCCTCATCTGCAAAATGGGGGTGATGATCATTACCATCTCATAGGGTGGCTGAGTGGATTAAAGGAGAGCATGTGTTTTCTTAGGCCCTTGCCAGGCATGCATTAGCATTCACCATTGTGAGGCCCTGCCTGGCCATAGAGGGTGGGTGTTGAAGTTCTCCGAGAGTTGCTGGCCGGGTGTGATCACACCTGTAATCCCAGCAGTTTGGGAGGCTGAGATGGGAGGGTCGCCTGAGCCCAGGAGTTCAAGACCAGCCTGGTCAACATGGCAAGACCTTATTTCTTTAAAAAAAAAAAAAAAAAGAGATTCTTAGGTGAAAGCAGTTTTTCCATTCTGGGCCTGTTTGTTCACAGGCACTTCGAGGTGAATGATCGGAAGGACCCCCAAGAGACAGCCAAGCTGTTTTCCGTGCCAGACTTTGTAGGTGACGCCTGCAAGGCCATCGCATCCCGGGTGCGGGGGGCTGTGGCCTCTGTCGCTTTCGATGACTTCCATAAGAACTCGGCCCGCATCATTCGCACTGCTGTCTTTGGCTTTGAGACCTCAGAAGCCAAGGGCCCCGATGGCATAGCCCTGCCCAGGCCCCGGGATCGGGCTGTCTTCCCCCAAAACGGGCTGGTGGTCAGCAGCGTGGATGTGCAGTCAGTAGAGCCCGTGGACCAGAGAACCCAGGACGCCCTGCAACGCAGCGTCCAGCTGGCCATTGAGATCACCACCAACTCCCAGGAAGCAGCAGCCAAGTGAGTGAGGCCGGGAGCCTGGCTGCCCATCATGCCCATGGCAGGCCACTGCCGGGACCTGGATAACCTGGTGTCCCCTATGGACTGCCTGCTGCCGTCCCCACCCCCAAGGATCTATTCCCTAGCTGACAGATCAGGTGACCCACTTAAAATGTGAAACAGGCTGGGTGCGCTGGCTCATGCATGTAATCCCAGCACCGTGGGAGGCCGAGGTGGGAAGATCACTTGGAGCCAGGAGTTTGAGGCTGCAATGAGCCATGATTGTGCCACTGCACTCCAGGCTGGGCAACAGGCCTGGGAGACAGACCCTGTCTCAAAAGAGAAAGGGGAAAAAAAAGGCATGTATCAGATGCAGCTCCTGCAGCCTCCCATCTTGCATGTGATAAAATGCAAACTCCTTCCTGTAGGTCCAGCCAGCCTCCCCTGATTTGCCTTCCACCCTCCCCCTTCCATGTTCCTCATCCCTGGAACGTGTTCCAGCCCCACTGGCTCCCTTCTGCTCCTTCAGAGCACAGCTTGGACCCACCTGAAGGCCTTTTGCACTGGCTGTTCCCGCTGCCCAGAAAGCTCCCCCGCCCCCGCCCCCGCCCACCAACAACCGGCCCCCAGCTCCCTTCTAGGCAGGCTCCTCCTTCTGGCTTCAGCCCAAAGCTCCCCGCCTTAGGCAGTCCTTTTCTTTCTCTCACAGCTGAATAGCACCCTCTTTGCCTGGTCTCTCCCACTTTGCTACCTTCAAAGTACTTGTCACTGTTTGAAATCCTCCTTGTGTGCTTTTTTCCCACTGGAAGGCAAGTGGTGTGAAAGCAGGGGCTGCGATGACACCTGCATTTTGCCAGGCCTAGAATGGCGCCATTCTGGGTTGAGTTGCTTGTCGAGTGCCTTCTAGGGGCCAGAGTCCATCCCGGGCACCGGTTTGGTTGGTGGTTGCTGCCCTTGGTGCTCCTGTTCCCGCTCCGGCCCATGCCAGCCTCTCACCTGCGCTCTGTCTCCTCCAGGCACGAGGCTCAGAGACTGGAGCAGGAAGCCCGCGGCCGGCTTGAGCGGCAGAAGATCCTGGACCAGTCAGAAGCTGAGAAAGCACGCAAGGAACTCTTGGAGCTGGAGGCTCTGAGGTGGGTTGAGAACTAGAGGAGGAGACTGGCAGGGGCTGAGGATCTTGAGACAGCAGCTGGTGGGCAGCACGCCAGGGTGGAGCATGGATAAGATGGTGCGCACCTGTGCATGGCTACAGCATAAGTCAAGGCTGTGGGAGGACTGGGCTGTCTCCCAGGTCTTACCTGACTGCTTCCTCCCCAGCATGGCGGTGGAGAGCACCGGGAACGCCAAGGCAGAGGCCGAGTCCCGTGCAGAGGCAGCCCGGATTGAGGGAGAAGGGTCCGTGCTGCAGGCCAAGCTGAAAGCAGAGGCCTTGGCCATCGAGACGGTGAGTGGGGGGGGATACATCCAGAAGGGGGTGGCCTTGAGGCCTGGAAAACCCCATTCCCTGCAGTCCCTGAGACTGTGTAGGATACCAGGTCCCCCAGCATAAAGCCCTATCCAAGTACTTTGTAGTTGACAAAGTCCTTTGCCTTGTAGGATTCCTTGACTCCACTCCTGGAAGGTAAGAATTAGAACACCCATTTTGCAGCTGAGTGCTCATGCACCGGCCACCATGGCACAGGCGTCATGTGTGCTTCACACGAATGACCTTACTTAATGCTTGAAATCCCATTAAGAGGCTGGGCATGGTGGCTCACACCTGTAATCCCAGCACTTTTGGGAGCCTGAGGCAGGCAGATCACTTGAGGTCAGGAGTTCGAGACCAGCTTGGCCAACATGGTGAAACCCCATATGTATTAAAAATACAAAAATTGGCTGGGTGCAGTGGCTCACCTCTGTAATCCCAACACTTTGGGAGGCCAAGGCGGGCGGATCACCTGAGGTTGGGAGTTTGAAACCAGCCTGACCAACATGGAGAAACTCTGTCTCTAATAAAAATACAAAATTAGCTGGACATGATGGTGCATGCCTGTAATCCGAGCTATTCGGGAGACTGAGGCAGGAGAATCACTTGAACCCAGGAGGTGGAGGTTGCAGTGAGCCAAGATCACTCCACTGCAGTCCAGCCTAGGCAAAAAAAAGTGAGACTCCATCTCAATTAAACAAAAATCCCATTAAGGTAGGTAGATGAGGGGCTGAGCCTTGGGCTCAGGAGCCCCACAGGTCACTAGTTAAACAGTGGAAGAGCTGGGACTCACACCTCACTGACTGCATGTTTCTAGCTCCATCCCTCTACCTCAGTTCCCTCGGGCTGGCTGGTAAGGGTGACTTGCTGGACAGTTCTGGGACCATGTGATCTAAAGGATGCTGATAATTTGAATGTCTCATGGGACTAACATGCTTGATAAGTAATTCATTCAGTGGATGGAGGGCTTTGGAGATGGTCGGATGATCTGGGTTCAGATTCTGCTCCGGCCAGGCACAGTGAGTGGCTCATGCGGGCAATCCCAGCACTTTGGGAGGCTGAGGTGGGAGGATCACTTGAGCCCAGGAGGTTGCAGCTGCAATGAGCTGTCCTGCCACTCCAGCCTGGGTGACAGAGCAAGACTTTGTCCCTAAAAAATAAAAACAAGGCTGGGCACAGTGGCTCATATCTGTAATCCCAGCACTTTGGGAGGCCGAGGCAGATGGATCACCTGAGGTCAGGAGTTGAAGACCAGCCTGGCCAACATAGTGAAAGCCTGTCTCTACTAAAAATACAAAAAAATTAGCTGGGCATGGTGGCATCCATGCTACTCAGGAGGCTGAAGCAGGAGAATCACGTGAACCCAGGAGGCAGAGGTTACATTGAGCCAAGATCGCACCACTAGACTCCAGCCTGGGCAACAAGATCAAAACTCCATCTCAAAAATAAGTAAATAAAAATAAATTTAAAAAGAGGCCCAGTGTGGTGGCTCATGCCTGTAACCCCAGCACTTTGGAAGGCTGAGGTGGGAGAATCATCTGAGGTCAGTTTGAGAGCAGTTCAAGACCAGCCTGGGCAACACAGCAAGACCTCCTCTCTACCACAAAAAAAAAAAAAAAAAAAAATTAATTGGCTGGCTGTAGTGGCATGTGCCTATAGTCCCAGCTACCCAGGAGGCTGAGGCAGGAGATTCCTTTGAGCCCAGGAGTTCCAGGCTGCAGTGAGTCCTGATCTACATTCCAGCCTGGGTCAAAAAATAAAGAATGGTGGATTTTTTCCCCTTTCAGGAGGCTGAGCTCCAGCGGGTGCGGAAGGTCCGAGAGCTGGAACTGGTTTATGCCCGGGCCCAGCTGGAGCTGGAGGTGAGCAAGGCTCAGCAGCTGGCTGAGGTGGAGGTGAAGAAGTTCAAGCAGATGACAGAGGCTCTGGGCCCCAGCACCATCAGGGACCTTGCTGTGGCTGGGCCTGAGATGCAGGTGAGAGTTGGGGAAGGCAGGGAGGGGAAGGTGTGTTGCTTTCAGGACCAGCCTTGCAACCAGGAAGGCAGAATCAAGGGGGAAAACACAACATCTGGAAAGATGGTGGGTGGGGGAAGGAGGGGTGAGAAACCTGTCCCTGCATCTCGAGTTGTTCATGCAGTGTCACGCTGCATCAGTGTCAGGCACTATACTAGACCTAGCAGTGAGCCGAGGCTCCCAAGGAGACAGGAAATGGATGGGGCACCAGTCTGTGACAAGAGTTTCCAAGGCAGTTGAACAGGGTGATCAGATGCAGGGGAGGTGACCCTTCAAACCCGCTGACTTAAGAAGAATCACTCTGCAGCTTGGCTCCCTAGAGAGGCAGCCAAGGAGCTGAGAGAAGTGGTCAGGGTTTGACGCCCATCTTCTCAACTTCCTCCTCTTCTCACCCTCCAGGTCAAACTGCTCCAGTCCCTGGGCCTGAAATCAACCCTCATCACCGATGGTTCCACTCCCATCAACCTCTTCAACACGGCCTTTGGGCTGCTGGGGATGGGGCCCGAGGGTCAGCCCCTGGGCAGAAGGGTGGTCAGTGGGCCCAGTCCCGGGGAGGGCATATCCCTTCAGTCTGCTCAGGCCCCCAAAGCTCCTGCAGATAACCACGTGGTGCCTGTACTGCACCCCTGACCAATAAATGGACATTTTTGGGCATTTAAAATTTAAACGCTTTTCTCTTGTCTGATGTTAATTGGGGTCCCAAGGGAGCTTAATGGTGGAGAGGGGAGGTGCCCCTGACATCTTTTTTTTTTCTTTTTTAGAGACTGAGTCTCATTCTGTCACCCAGGCTGGAGCGTAATGGTGTGATCTCTGCTCACTGAAACCTCCGCCTCCCAAGTTCAAGTGATTCTGCCTCAGCCTCCCAAGTAGCTGGGATTACAGATGCGTGCCACCATGCCTGGCTAATTTTTTTTTTTTAGTAGAGATGGGGTTTCACCATGTTGGCCAGGCTGGTCTCGAACTCTCAACCTCAGGTGATCCACCTGCCTTAGCTTCCCAAAGTGCTGGGATTACAGGCTTGAGTCACCATGCCTGGCTGACATATCTAGATAGTTACAGGAGACTGTTCTCTGTAAAGGGGAGAGGACCCCAAGGCAGGGGGAGGATGAACTGGAAGTCACCCAGTAGGAATGTGGCCCGAAAGCCTTGTGCACTGAGTAACTGTTGGCTTCCTAGAGCCCCGGTAGGGGCGATGATGCCACAGGCAGGGGCCTGGGGCCCATACCAGCAACATCTCACCACCAGGCCTCCAGGAGCCCAGATGCCTGGGACTCTCAGCATCTAACCGTTCGGCTGCAGCAGATGCAGGCCAGCTTCCCATAGGGGAGATTCCCTGCTGGTAGTGCTGGCAGCACCAGTGGGCATGCCAGGCTGGCACGCTTGTACCTGCCCGGGGGGGCTGTCAGGTTGGGGAGGAGGACCTTGCCCAGGGCAGTAGGAATTTGGCATCTCCTTGGCCTTCTGGTTGGGGTTTTTCGGGAACACTGAGGGAGGGATGCCCTCGTCCTACCCTCTCCCCCACAACCAGTAAGGGGCTCTCATTTGAGAGAAGGATCCAGGTGCAGTTAGCCTGGGTGCACCAGCCCTTTGCAGGCCAGGTAGAGTTGTAAGTGCCAGGCCCGCCCCATCTCTGCCAAGGAAGTAAAAACATCCTAGGGGCTGAGTGCGGGGACTTAGGCCTGTAACCCTAGCACCTTGGGAGGCCAAGGCACAAGGATCACTTGAGACTAGGAGTTTGAGACCAGCCTGGCCAACATAGCAAGACTCCCATCTCTTAAAAAATTCGCCAGGTGTGGTGGCATGCACCCGAGTTCCCAGCTACTCTGGAGGCTAAGGTTAGAGGATTGCCTGCGCCCAGAAGTTGGAGGCTGCAGTAAGCTATGATCACACCACTGCACTCCAGCCTGGGTGACAGAGGGAGACCCTGTTTCTATTGAAAACAACCCCCTAAAAGCCTCCCCAACTCCTTGATCTTCCCTTCTCTGTGATATTTATTGGAAAAAGCCCCATCCCTTCTTAAAAGCCCCATCCCTTCTTAAACCACCTCCCTCCCTCTTTGCACTGCCCCTGACCAGCTGCACGTTGCTGGAGGAGGAACACCCCTTGGAGCTGACTGATCTTATTTTAAACTCATGGCAACAAACTTTGGGGGAGGTACAGCTCCTCTGACTGCTGCTCTGTCTTGTGTGCAATCTGCTTTGAGACAACCCTTCACACCACCTCTCTTCTCAGCCTCCTACTCCCCTGCCCACTTTCTCTCACCTCTTTGAGAAAATAGAAGCAAATTGGGTAGGAAGGCCCTTCCCAGCAACAAACCTAACAAACTGCTGGCATCTGGACTCTTCTCTCCCTCCTGTTCCCACCTGGGGCTCCTCCCCATGGGCTCTAGGAGGGAGGGCTGCATTCCCCCACTGATCACCTTCCTCTCCTGTGCTGTCATTCTTTTTCCTTTTTTCTGAGACAGTCTCACTCTGTCACCCAGGTTGGAGTGCAGTGATGTGATCTCACCTCACTGCAACCTCTGCCTCCTGGGTTCAAGTGATTGTCCTGCAGTCATGCACCTCTATGCCCTGCTAATTTTGTATTTTTAGTAATGGGGTTTTGCCATGTTGCCCAGACTGGTCATGAACTCCTGACCTCAAGTGAGCCGCCTGCCTCTGCCTCCTAAAGGGCTGGGATTACGGGTGTGAGCCACGGTGCCCGGCTGGTATGCCGTCAGTTTCTTCTCTGCGCAGCATCGTCATCAGGGTATTGACGTGCCTACTCTGTCCATATAAAACAACTCCCGTAACCCTATGAGCCCCTCCAACTCCCACCTCTCCTTTTTTCGTCACAGCCAAATTTTTCCAGAGTTCTCTGTGGTCTCACTTTCCATTTCTCACCTCTCATTATCTTTTCAAACCACTCCAGATAGGGCCGGGCACAGTTGCTCATGCCTGTAATCCCAGCACTTCGGGAGGCCAAGGTGGATGGATCACCTGAGGTCGGGAGTTCAAGACCAGCCTAGCCAACATGGCGAAACCCCTGTCTCGACTAAAAATACAAAAATTAGCCAGGTGTGGTGGTGGGCGCCTGTAATCCCAGCTACTTGGGAGGCTGAGGCAAGAGAATCGCTTGAATCCAGGAGGTGGAGGTTGCAGTGAGTTGAGGTTGTGCCATTGCACTCCAGCCTGGGCAACAAAAGCAAAACTCGAACTAAAAAAAAAAAAACCCACTCCAGGTATCTTCTGTCTCTGCCCCTTACTTTATGGAAGCTGCTCTATTCGGCGGCACCAGTCACATCTCGTTGCTAAATGCAGTAATTGATCAGCCACTCCATCACTTGGCACAGTGACCATTCCTCTCATGCTGGGCTTTCCTGAAGTCACCTGTTTTAGTTTTCTTTCTTACTTCTCTCAGACTCTGATTTATGGGTTCCCCGAGGCCCCCTTCTCATGCCGACATTCTTGTCCAGTCTTATGATCTTAGGTGGTCTCTATACCACTGACCTCAGCATCCATTTCTCCAGCCCTCACCTCACCCAAAAGCTGTGGGCTTATTTCTAGTCTATGCCTTGACGTCTCCACATGGACATCGATTGGTGATCAGGCTTTGATGTGATTTGCTCTCACCAATGAAATGCAAGGGGAAATGACATCACATGCCTGCACTTCCCTTTTCCATAAATGAATGTTAAGATATGGAAATGGGCTGGGCGCAGTGGCTCACACCTGTAATTCCAGCACTTTAAGAAGCCAAGGCAGGAAGGTCACTTGAGGCCAGGAGTTGGAGACCAGCCTATGTAACACAGTGAGACCCCCATCTGTACAAAAAACATTTAAAATTTAACAGGGCATGGTGGTGCATGCCTGTAGTCCCAGCTACTCCGTAGGCTGAGGCAGGAGGACTGCTTGAGCCTGAGAGGTCGAGGCTGCAGTGAGCTATGATCATGCCACAGCTCTCCAGCCCAGGTGAGAGAGACCCTATTTCCAAAATAAAAATTTTAAAAGTCCTCTGGGTTCCTAGGCCGCCCCAGCTGGCTCTTCCTTGCCTCTTCCCAGCTCTCCCAGCCCCCAACCCCCAGGACTTGGTGCTCCAGCCCACGAAATTTAGATCTGTTTTTCTTTTTCCCTGCCTTGACTGGAGCAGGCCAGGTTGGCGGGGGTGGGGGGTGCCTGACGCGCTGGAAACACACCAAAGCTGCTGCTGCTTTTTTTTTTTTTTTTTTTTTTTTTTTGTAGTTAGGAGTCTCACTCTGTCACTGGGCTGGAGTGCAATGGCATGATCTCGGCTCACTGCAACTTCTGCCTCCTGGGTTCAAGCAATCCTCCCACTTCAACCTCCCGAGTAGCTGGGACTACAGAAGTGCACCTCTACGTCCGGCTAATTTTTTTTATTTTTAGTATAGATGGGATTTCACCATGTTGGCCAGGCTGGTCTTCAACTCCTGACCTCAAATGATCCACCCCCTCGGCTTCCCAAAGTGCTGGGATTACAGGTGTGAGCCACTGTGCCAGCCTGGATCTGTTCCAATTTCTGATGTCACTGTAAATGGTTAGAACCAAGGAGCCCGGGAGCCAGTCAGGGACATGGGAGCCAGGAGGGCTGAGGGCTCCATGCTGTGGGGCTGAAGAGTGCTCAGAGGACCTACCGTGCTGGAGGAAGAGCTGCAGAACCCAGGGGCCTCTCTGGCGTCCCTGCCTTCCCATGCCGTTCCCTCAGCTAAGAAGCGATCTCCTCTGCCTAACGCTTTCCTCTCCCATCCCTACCAGCCTTCTACATGACCCAGCCCTTTCACCAAACCCTAAGTCAGGTCTTGTGCGTCTTCTACTCCCATCCTCAACGAGCACTTTCCTGTGATATGGTAGGGGAAGTAGCCACCCAGTACTCAGTGACTCCCCTGGGCCTAGCACAGGAGTTGAGACTCAGTACATGTCTGGTAAATTTCCATTCTCCCGGGCACAGGGGCCTCTTGGGCCACTTGGCTAAGCTATTATGCAGATAGAATGAGTAACATCTGCAAAGAACCCCCAGCACAGTCTGGCCTATGGTACTAGAGTTTAAAACCACAGATGGTAGGGGATAGATGTACAGAACGATGCCTAGTATATTACAGGAGCCCACAGATAGGGACCAGTGTTTCTCAACATTACTGGAAGAATCCTCCGGCGCTGAAGTTGCAGGCTTCTGGGAGCTTTTTTTTTTTTTGAGATGGAATTTTGCTTCTGTTGCCCAGGCTGGAGTGCAGTGGCACCATCTTGGCTCACCACAACCTCTGCCTCCCAGGTTCAAGTGATTCTCCTGCCTCAGCCTCCCAAGTAGCTGGGATTACAGGCACATGCCACCACCCCTGGCTAATTTTGTATTTTTAATAGAGACGGGGTTTTTCCATGTTGCTCAGGCTGGTCTGGAACTCCTGACCTCAGGTGATCCACCTGCCTCGGCCTCCCAAAGTGCTGGGATTACAGGTCTAAGCCACCTCGTCCAGCTGTCCATCCCTAGAGCTTCCAACTCTGAAGGTCTGCTGCAGGACCCAAGAACTTGCATTTATTTTACTTTTTGAGACATCTTGTTCTGTCGCCCAGGCTGGAGTACAGTAGCACAATCATGGCTCACTGCAGCCTTGACCTCCCGGGCTCATTTTCTCACTTCAGCCTCCCCAGTAGCTGGGACTAAGACATACACCACCATACCTGACCAATTTATATATATATATATATATATTTTTTTTTTTTTTGGGTACAGACAGGGTCTGGCAATATGGCCCAGGCTGGTCTCAAACTCCTGGGCTCAAATGATCCTCCCACCTTAGCCTCCCAAAGTGCTGGGATTACAGGCCAGTCATAAGCCTCCGAGATGGGCTGAAGTTCCTTTTTGTTGCTGTTGACACTGTCTGGCCCTGGCCCCCAGGCTGGAGTGGCACCATTACGTATCATTGCAACCTCTGCCTCCTGCTTCCCAGGCTCAAGCTCTCCTCCCACCTCAGTCTCCTGAGTAGCTGGGACCACAGGTGCATGCCACCACACCTCGCTAATTTTTGTATTTTTTTGTAGAGACAGGGTTTCACCATGTTGCCCAGGCTGGTCTCGAACGCCTGTGCTCAAGCAATCCACACAAGCTTGGCCTCCCAAAGTGCTGGGATTACAGATGTGAGCCACTGCGCCCCGCTCAAAGTTGCATTTAAAGAAATATCCAGCCAGGCTTGGTGGCTCATGCCTGTAATAATAGCACTTTGGGAGGCTAAGGCGGGAGGATGACTTGAAGGCCAGGAGTTTGGAGCTGCAGTGAACTAGGACTACACCACCGGCCTGGGTGATAGAGTAGGACTCTGTCTCTAAAAAAAGGAAGAAAACAACAAAAAGAGAGAAATAGAAATATTCTCCAGATGGTCTAAGGACCACATTCTGACAAACCAACTAATTGACAGATGAGTATTTATTAAGCAGCTACTATATGCCAGGTTCAGGTTGGTCTTTTTCTAGAGATAGAGAAGGGAACGAGAAAAGTCTGTGCCTTCATGGCGTTTACATTCTAGTGAGGGTAGAAAATATCAAGAATATAAATACATGTAGACAGTGACATAAAACAAGTGGGCGGTGGGGACACCGCATGAGCGTGAGTGGCAGGAAGGCCTCTCTCTGAGGTCACTGTGGACAGATGGAGAAGCCAGCCAGCAAATTGGAGGAAAAGCACCCAGACGGATGTCCTTCCCGAAGCTCCCTGAACCTAGGCCCTGAGCCAAGAATGTCTGAAAGGAAAGCAAGTCAAATAGTGAACTTCTCGCCTTTATAATCAAGGCTTCCAGGACCACAGTAGGCAGGACAGAGGAGCCGGCGAAGGGGAAGGCTGTGGATGGATTCTTCCCTTCCGAGCACAGTGCCCCAGGCTTGCTCTGGCTGGGGGCAGAGGTCTGATTCCCCTGCTTCTGGGAAACTCAGCCCACACACCATCTCCCTCACTCCAGCATCCCTAGCAGCTCACACTCCAGGGCTGAGCTGGCAGGGTGTGACAGTACCTGGTCCTGGCACCCCAGGAGCACCACCTATACGGATGGGGCCTCCTTCGTATCCTCCCTGATTTGAGGCCCGGCTCCCTGGGGATCCCAGGGATGGGCCCGGTCCTCAGGATCCCAGAGTACATGACATCACCAAAGAGAGGCTGACCCCATCCCAGCAGGTAGGACAACACATGAGGAAGGTGTGCGACTGGGACCTCCTAGCAGAGGGTGGGGAGCCATGTGGCACAGCGAGACTCCCAGGGCAGGTGGGCAGCCAGGACTGGGGGCTCCAGTATCACTTCTTCTTGGCACGGTCTGCTGCGTCCAGGGCAGCCATGTTGCGGGCGGCTGTGACCAGGTGGATGACGCTGATGAGTGACTTCAGCAAGGCGATGGGGGCAGTGACCCAGAGGCCCATCCGGAACAGCCCCACGGAGCCAACTGCAGGAAGGCAGCAGGGAAGTTGGGGGACCAAAGGAGGGGGCCTTCATCTCCCTGGGCAGGCCAGAGCCCCCTCCCATCCTTCTTCCCAGCCCCTCATCTCCTACCTAAAGGTCCCTCAGAGAAATGGAGCAGGTAGAGGAGGCAGTAGAAGAGCTCATTCCCAGCACACAAGGTGAACAGGACAGGCTGCACACACAGCAAACAGGCCGAGTTACCAAGAGGCAGTGCCACCCCCGTCCCCCAGCATTAAGGAGAGTGCAATCTCAGGATATTACTTCTTTTTTTTTTTCTTTTTTAGAGACAGGGTCTCACTCTGTCATCTAGGCTGGAATACAGTGCTATGATCATAGCACTACAGCCTCAAAACTCCTGGTTTCAGCTGGGCGTGGTGGCTCACACCTGTAATCCCAGCACTTTGGGAGGCTGAAGCAGGCAGATCACCTGGTCAGGAGTTTGAGACCAGCCTGACCACGTGGCAAAAACCCTCTCTGCTAAAAATACAAAAACTTAGCTGAGTGTGGTGGTGTGCGCCTATAGTCCCAGCCACTCGAAGGCTGAGGCACAAGAATTGCTTGAGCCTGGCAGATGGAGGATGCGGTGAGCCAATAACGTGCCACTGAACTCCAGCCTGGGTGACACAGCAAGTCTCTCAAAAAAAAACCTCTTGGTTTCACTCGATCCTTCCACCTTAAGTAGAGACGACAGGCCTGCACCACTGTGCCTGGCTAATTCGACTTTTTTGTGTGTGGGGAAACAGAGTCTCACCTTGTGGCCCAGGCTGGTCTCAAACTCCTGGCCTCAAGCAATCCTCCCACCTCAGCCTCCCAAAGCACTGGGACTACAGGCGTGAGCCACCACACCCAGCCATTACTTAGCTTTTTAAAAATCCTTTCAGAGGCTGCCTGTGTTCCTGGAATCAAGTCCACAGTCCAGCCCTGCAGACCTCTCTGGCTTTATCTCCTTCCCGCCTCTCACTCCCTCCTCTTCCGCAGGCCTCATACTTGCTCCCTGGAGTAATTCACACAGGCACCCCCACAACCAATCCTCCTCCTCCACGCCTAAGCTTACAGGCTCCTCCTCCTAGAGTGACTGGGCAGGCCCTGCTCAGTGCCTTCTCCTAGCCTAGGACCAGGGTTCAGCCCAGGACTTCCCATAGCCAAGAGCATGAGGGACAGGGTGTGCAGGAAACGCTTACCCTTGAGGTGTAGTAGATCCGAAGCACCGGATTCCCAGACAGGTCGATCATCTTGTGACTCTCACTGCCTCGGACCACAGAACTTGGGGAGAAAACAGGAGAACCCACGAGCTTTATGACTACTACCCTGCATCTGATCATCATGTTAGCTCCTATTGTATTGATGGAAAACTGGGCATGGCTAAGGACCAGTATCCTGCCCAAAGCCAGTTACCTATTTGAGGGTAGAATCAGGCTTTAAATGCCACATTCAAAAGCCCCCATGCCCCTTCCTGCAAGCTGTCACCTATTTGGAATCCTAGAATATCCAGCTGGAAGAGTCCTAAGAATTGCTTAATGCAACTGTAAACATGACTGAAGTTGATTCTAAGACAGGCAGATTTGCCTGGGGCCCTTCTACAAAGCAGAGCTAAAAAGGAGCCCTCCCAGGACGCCTAATGCCATCCCAGACACCCTTCCATCTAGGCTCCCCCTGCCCCACTGTAGTGTCTCCAACTGGCCAAGGCCCCCAGAATCACCGCACACCTGTGAAGGTGCAGCCAGTGACTGGCCACATCCAAACTCATGCTGAGCTGGAAGAACAGCGTGGCTCGAGGGTACAGCAGGGCCAGGTTGACCAACAGGCACATGGTAGAGCAGCGGTCTGTCAGCATGTCCAGCATGGCCCCAAACCGGGTTCCTGGAAGATGGGGGCTGTTAGGTGGGCAGGGGCTGTTAGGGTACAGTGGACGTAGGACAAGTGCCCATATTTGGTTTATCACTCCGATCCAGGGTGTAAGTGAAGACTCAAAGTGTCCACCAGCCTGGGGAGGAACGCAGGCTGGAAAACAGGCTCTGTGTGAGGTCAGTGGGCAAAGGTCACCATGACATGGACTGAGAAGGCATGAGAGTGGAGGGAACAGGGTAGGAGAAAGGAAAGCTGTGTCTGCAACTCATCAACCCCAGAACCAAGACTCCAGGGTGAGACCAAGAAACTTGATGCCTCGAGAGAAGCCTTAGAAGTGGGTCTGGAGAACAGATGAAAAAATTAGCCGGGCGTGGTGGCCCATGCCTGTAATCCCAGCACTTTGGGAGGCTGAGGTGGGCAGATCACACGGTCAGGAGTTCAAGCCTGGCCAGCATGGTGAAAGTCCATCTCTAATAAAAATATAAAAAATTAGCCGAGCGTGGTGGTGTGTCCCTGTAATCCCAGATACTTGGGAGGCTGAGTCAGGAGAATCACTTGAACCCAGGCGGTGGAGGTGGCAGTGAGCCAAGATTGCACCACAGCCCTCCAGCCTGGGCAATAGAATGAGACTCTGTGTCAAAAAAACAAAAGAAAAAATTTGTCAATCCTCTAGAAGTCATCACCCTTCCTTCTCCATCCTCCCTCTAAACATGCCTTCTGGAATCCAACTTATACAGGACACACAGTAGGCCTCCAGTAAACACCTGTTTAATGGACTCCCCAACCCCACCCCAGAGATGTCTCCCTCTGTTGCCCAGGCTGGAGTGCAGTGTTGCAATCTCAGCTCACCGCAACCTCTGCCTCTTGGGTTCAAGAGATTCTCCTGCCTCAGCCCCCTGAGTAGCTGGAATCACAGGCCACCATGCCTGGCAAATTTTTGTATTTTTAGTAGAGACAAAGTTTCACCATGTTGGCCAGGCGGGTCTGGAACTCCTAATCTCATGATCCACTTGCCTTGGCCTCCCAAAGTGTTGGGATTATAGGCGTGAGCTGCTGCGACTGACTAAATGGACTTGTATTTAGAGAGACCTTCAGCAGTACCACGGCCATGTCATGTCTTGCTGATCCACACCTCTCGCAAACAGTGAGTTCTCAAGAGCTAGCTTAAATCCCTTTTACTACAAAATCAGTCCATTCTTGCTGGGCGCAGCACTTTGGGAGAAAGGCAGGAGGATCGCTTGAGGCCAGGAGCTGGGACCAGTCTGGGCGACACTGCAAGACCCAGTCTACACAAGTTTAAAAATTAGCCAGGTGTGCTGGCAAGTGGCTGTTGTCTCAGCTATTCAGGAAGCTGAGGTGGGAGGATTACTTGAGCCCAGGAGATGGGGGCTGCAGACAGCCATGATCGTCTCGCCATTGCACTCCAGCGTAAGTGACAGAGCGAGACCCTGTCTCAAAAACAAAAAAAAAAACCAAAAACCTCAGACCATCCTGTTCTGCTTTTTTCAGAGATGGGAATGACAGCCCTCTGACCCTGAGGTCCCAAGGAGGCAGGGGAAGGGGGCAGGGGATTGTTAGGCCCCAAGGCTGGCTGGGAGGGGTGTCGGTCACCTTGATTAAGGGCGCGAGCAGCGTGTCCATCGAAAGCGTCCAGCAGGCCGCTGAGCAGGTAGAAGGAAGAGGCCGTAAGGGGGCAGCAGGGCATGAAGTAGAAAGAAATGACGGCGAAGATAATCCGGGCATAACCTTGAACGGGACGCGGGGAGACAGGGCGGGATCAGGGAGCCCGCCAAGGCCCCTGGCCCTCCCGTCCGATCCGGGGCCGCGGGCAGCACTCACCGATGAGGTTGGGCACGAACATGAAGATATTTTCGTCTGACATCGCGGCGCCCCCCTTGCCGCCCCGGGCCCGCTCTGGAGATGCCAGCGCTGTCCCGGACCCGCCGCGCGGCCCCAGCCTCCGGCCCGGCGCATAAACCGAGCCACTTGCGCCCAGGACCCCGCCGCCCTCACTCGGCCCCAGATGCCGAAGCCCTCAGCAGTCGGGAGCACGCGCCGGCCCCAAGGCGAGCCGGGCGCAGGGGCGCGCGCAGCCCTCCCTTCTGACCCGCAGCCCCCTAACCTCCGCCCGCCCCGCAGACTCTCCCGCCTCCAGCTGCGGTCACCGCTGCTCCAGATGCGCGGGGCTTCCGGGAACCTCCTCCTCCGGGCCAGTCGTTGCAAAATTGGAGAGAGAAAAAAAGGCTTTAAAAAATAGTTGCGGCCCCTTTAAGACCTGTCCGCTTCCTTTTTCCTTTCCTCCCTCCGCCCCCTCTCCCTTGGTTTGTACCAAAACGCAGAGGGGAAGAGGGAGGAAGGAATCATCGACGTCGAGCAAAGGTAGGGACGGAAGAGGAAAGAGCAAAAGAGAAGAAAGCCGAATAAAAATCTCTGATTTTCTTTCGCGGAGGATGTAACTTCCTGAGAGGAAGATAAGGCGATAAAATTCCTCCCTCCAGAGTCTTTGCACCCCCTAGAGGTCAGGAATTTTGGTGGAGCCCGCACTTTTCTCTCCGCCCACTAAGTTTCGAGCCGCCTTTGCTCTCTCAGGCTCCAGGCGGCTAGAGAGGCTCCAGATCGCCCTGCAGCCGGGTTGCTTCTCGCCTGCCCCTTGTGGTGGGAGGATTAGATCGCAGGCTCCATCCCTATGTCATTCTCCCAAGCTTCTCAATCCTCTGGTGTTTGGGGTCACTGCCCCCAAGGAGGCACCTGGAGGGGTATGGAGGGGAGGCTGGAGGACCAAATGGGGCGCGCTAGGAAATGTCTCTGTCTTTAGTTCTAGAACCCCTGATCCCCTAGCAACCTCCGCAGATCTCCAGGGTTTACAGCGGCCAGTAGCAAAACGGAGCTGGCTCCCCCTCTTCCAGCCTTCCTCACCATCTCCCATTCCCTGTCCTCCGCGACCTATACCAGAGGTCCTTAGGCCTCCCCGTCTCCCCTTCTGCCGGGTAGCCCAAGGTTTCCACCCATCTGCCAGGTCTGGGGCGGCAAGTTGGCTGCCTTGGCTTGGGAAAGGGCTTGGGAGGGAAGAAGGAAAGCGAAGCCCCACTGGGTGAAGGGGTGGGTGGTTGTGGAAGGTTCCCCACTCTCCCGAATATATAAGGCAACATTTTCTTTTTTTTTTCTTGAGAGAGGAAATGCAGCGGGATGTTTCCTCTAAAGGCCTTGTTTAAACCTGGACCCGGGGAATGGTGGTGGGCTGGGTTCTGGGGAAAGCGGTCTGGTTTCTCAGGCCAATACAGGCCTCCACTGTTCCCAGGGGGATGGCGTCCACTCCGATGGGGAATGAGGGGGAGAAGAAGGACAGCTGGCCATCTCAAGCTGCACCCTCCTCGAGAGGAGGTCCGGTGAGCGCTGCAGGGGACCGTAGAGGTGGGAGTGTAAGGAAGTGAAGGCCTCCCAGGCAGTGGTGCCCGTCCCAGGTCTGAGCCTTGAGATTCCAGCCTCAACGCTGAACCCTGAAGCCCACCCCGATAGCCCTCAGCACTAGACCCTGACTCTGCACCACCCCCCAGTCCACCTCTCCCAGATCCAGAGCCTTCTAGCTAAATCTCAAGACCCAGTACTCCAAGACCAAGCTCCTTGGACCCGGAGGCCCCAGCCTGGGAGCTCCCACACCCAGCACTCCCTTATGTGAGCTCCCGGGCTGAACCCCTCCGCCTTTTCCTTTCCCAGGCTTCATTATGTAGTTCTGAGGAATACCTGTCCCGGATCAGTGCAGAACTCACGGAGGAGGCTTTATTTATGGCTTGCTGCCATTTGAATCCTGTGCCCATCAAAAAAAAGCAGACACAAGACCAAGCGACTCAGATATCCACACATGGTAACCCCTGCCTCAGGATCACTGTCTAGAGAACCACTGCCCCCTCCCTCCATGCCTGGTTCCAGTCCCTGAGCCCTCCCACCCCTAGCTGAGCCCTCCAGGAATCTGTGCCCATCTCGCCCCTCTCACAGCCAGCTCTAGGACCTGAAAAGCGACCCCTCACCTGCTAACCCAGTGCCCACTCCTCACTACTGGCCAAGAATCCCCTTAGCCCCATCTGCCCTGGCCACATTCTCTTCCTGGCCATGGGGATAGTCCTTGCTCTGACTGGGGCCTCTATTTCCAGGATTCTTCACCAAGACCCGAGGCACAGACACCCGGTGAGTGAGGCTTCAAGGGAGATGCTCTTTGTCCTGTGAGAGAAATGAGGAGCCTGGAGGGGAGAGAGCGGGGGTTTCACCACATCCCAGCAGGGTAGAGGGATTTTTGAACTGTGTACTTCCATTCTCTTCTGCCCTGATCCTCAAATTCAGAATTCTCAGCCCTCTCCTTTCTCTTCCACCATCTCCAGCTCCGACAGAAACTGTACCCACACCAAGTCACACCTCCTGACAGCCCGTCGCGAAAAGGTACATGCAGGGTCCATGGATGCCAAGGCTATTTGATATTAACCAAACCTTTTGAGTTTGCACTATATGCTGGGCCCTGTCTTAGGTGCTTGTGACACAAAAATGAATGATACAGTCTCAGCCCTTGAAGAGGTCACACTTCAGTGTGGGGACAGACAAGGATATGACCAATTACAATACAGTATGGATAAGTTTCCATAATAGAAATGGAAGCAGTGAGATCGTACTCTTATCCCAGCCTTGATTTGGATAGGAGGGAAAGGAGCCATGGAGCTTCTTGAAGGAGCTTCTTTAGCACCTAAAGAAATCATTTTCTGCCGGGTGTGGTAGGTCACGCCTGCAGTCCCAGCACTTTGAGAGGCCAAGGTGGGTGGACCATGAGGTCAGGAGTTCAAGAGCAGCCTAGCCAACTTGGTAAAACCCCATCTCTACTAAAAATACAAAAATTAGCTGGTGTGGTGGTGCGTGCCTGTAATTCCAGCTACTCAGGAGGCTGAGGCAGGAGAATCGCTTGAACCCAGGAGGTGGAGGTTGCAGTGAGCTGAGATCACACCACTGCACTCCAGCCTGGGCCACAGAGCAAGACTCCGTCTCAAAACCAATCAAAGCAAAAACAAAACAAAAAATTAGCCAGGTGTGGTGGTGTGTGCCTGTAATCCTAGCTACTCAGGAAGCTGAGGCAGAGAATCGCTTGAACCCGGAAGGCAAAGGTTGCAGTGAGCCGAGATCGTGCCACTGCATTACAGCTTTGGCCACAGAGTGAGACTCTGTCTCAAAAAAATAAAATAAAATAAAAATTAAGCACTTACTATGTGCCAGCACTGCTTGAGGGCTGGAGTGTTGCAGTGAGCAAAACAGAGTTCCTGCTATTGAGGCTTAAAAAATTAGCTGGGCATTCAGCAACCCCATTACTGGTCCCATTATAATCCATAGGATTATAAATTGTTCTCTTATAAAGACATACGCACACGTACGTTCATTGCAGCACTGTTTACAATAGCAAAGACCTGGAACCAACCCAAATGCTCATCGTTGATAGACTGGATAAGGAAAATGTGGCACATATACACCATAGAATACTATGCAGCCATAAAGAAATGATGAGTTCGTGTCCTTTGTAGGGACATGGATGAATCTGGAAAACATCATTCTTAGCAAACTGACACAAGAACAAAAAATCAAACACCACATGTTCTCACTCATAGGCGGGTGTTGAACAATGAGAACACATGGACACAGGGAGGGAGGCATCACACACTGGGGTCTGTTGGGGGGGAATAAAGGAGGGACAGTGGTAGGTAGGGAGGTTGAGGAGGGATAACATGGGGAGAAATGCCAGACACAGGTGGCAGGGGGATGGAGGCAGCAAATCACATTGCCATGTATGTACCTATTCAACTATCCTGCATGTTTTGCACATGTACCCCAGAACCTAAAGTGCAATAAAAAATATATATTTAAAAAAAATTAGCCAGGCTTGGTGGTGCACAGCTATGGTCCCAGCTACTCCAGAGGCTGAGGTGGGAGGATCACCGGAGCCCAGGAGGTTGAGGCTGCAGAAAGATATGATTGTGCCACTGCACGCTAGCCTGGCTGACAGAGACCCTGTCTTGAGAAAAATAAAAAAGACATGAGTCTTGGGTCTAAAGAGTGAAAAGGCTCTTGTCTCTTTCATGGAGCTCTTCCTAACTACCTGTTTGGAAGATGAGCCCGCCCCTCTTTGATACTCCTGGCCTCTCATGCTTCTCCCTTTTATCCCTAGAACATGCCTCAAAACTCCTCTTTTGCCACTCGTTAACCACTTCCGTTTGCGGGGACCTCATGGTCATAAGCAGTATCATCCTGAAGCCGTCAAAGTTTTCTGGATTCATCACCGGACCCTCCAGCCTCAGCCAGCAAGGACACCACCAGGAATGAAAGGCTTTAATAAAGAGACAGGGATCCTTCCCTCCCCCAGCTCATGCAGTTCTCTGGTGTGGTTTCTCTGGGGTAGACGTGCAGGAGAGGGTCCTTTTTTTTTTGCCGGATGTGGATGCTGGATGCGGGCATATGATTGGAGTGTTTGTTTTGTTTTTTAATTGGTGGCCAGGTGTGGTGGCTCACACCTGTAATCCCAGCACTTTGGGAGGCCAAGACAGGTGAATCACAAGGTCAGGAATTTGAGACCATATTGGCCAATATGGTGAAACCCCATCTTTACTAAAAATACAAAAAATGAGCCTAGTGTGGTGGTACCCACCTAAAATCCCAGCCACTCAGGAGGCTGAGGCAAGAGAATCACTTGAACCCAGGAGGTGGAGGTTGCAGTGAGCCAAGATCATGCCATTGCACTCCAGGCTGGGTGACAAGAGCAAAACTCCATCTCAAAAAATAATTTTTTAAACATTACATAGGCTGGGTGTGGTGGCTCACACCTGTAATCCCAGCACTTTGAGAGGCCAAGACAGGTGGATCATGTGAGGTCACAAGTTTGAGATCAGACAGGCCAATATGGGGAAACCCTGTCTCTACTGAAAATACAAAAATTAGCCAGGTGTGGTGGTGCATGCCTGTAATCCTAGCTACTCGGGAGGCTGAGGCAGGAGAATCGTTTGAACCCAGGAAGCGGAGGTTGCAGTGAGCTGAGAAGGAGCCACTGAACTCCTACCTGGGTGACAGAGCAAGACTCTTGTCTCAAAAACAAACTTTTTTTTAATTACATAAAATGTAGTTAATTTGGAGAAAAACTCTTTAGACAAACAGGCTATAAATTCCTGATAATGTTCAAAAATAGATATAGTGGGCTGGGCGTGGTGGCTTACTCCTGTAATCCCAGCATTTTGGGAGGCCAAGGCGGGTGGATCACATGAGGTTGGGAGTTCAAGACCAGCCTGATCAACATGGAGAAACTTCATCTCTACTAAAAATACAAAATTATCTGGGCAAGGTGGCACATGCCTGTAATCCCAGCTACTCAGGAGGCTGAGGCGGGAGAATCGCTTGAACCCAGGAGGCGGAGGTTGCAGTGAGCCAAGATCTCGCCATTGCACTCCAGCCTTGGCAACAATAGTTAAACTCAATCTAAAAAAAAAAAAAAAAAAAAAAAAAACTGGAAAAGGACACCCCCAAGGATATAAAGCTCAAATTGGTATCTGGGTCACAGATATGCCTAAATTGCTAAGAAGATTGGGGTGGCGGGGAAGAAATGGTGTACTTGAATGGATACAAAAATTCTCCAAAGGGGGTTGAATTTTAAGCAAACTGGTCATAAAACAAATTGAAAACCCAGGCTTGGTGGCTAATGCCTGTAATCCCAGAACTTTGGCAAGTCAAGGAAGGAGGATTGCTTGAGGCTAGGGGTTTGAGAGCAGCCTGGGCAACATAGCAAGATCTCTTTCTACAAAAAATTTAAAAATTAGGCAGGCACAGTGGCTTGCACCTGTAGTCCCAGCTACTCAGGAAACTGAGGCGGGAGGATAAGTTTGAGGGTGCAGTGAGCTGTGACCCCACCACTGCACTGCAGCCTGGCTGGCAGAGCTAGGCCCTGTTTCTAAAAAGAAAAAACTGAAAGCTGTTTGCCTCCTGCCCAGCAGTAAGAGAAGAGGAGTGGCTCCTGTCAGTTCTCTCCCAGCTGGAAGAGGCTGACAAGGTCAAGGCCTGGTGGAGAGGCCACTGCGGCCAGGAGTGGGGCTGGTGGCAGGGAAAGCTTCAAAGAGGCTGAGCCTACAGCCAGGCTTTTTGACCCCAGGCCAGGCCCCCGCCCCCAGACACTGCCCTCTGCCCACTTTCGAATTTCCCTCTTTTTTTCAAGTTGTTCCCCTTTCCCCAGCCCTCTCTCCAGAGAGGTGGTCACTCAGCGCTTGGTGACCACCTTCCCACACCCCACTGGCCCAATTACAAGTGGTGATTTTCTGTTTATTGCTCAAAAACAAGAATTCAGAAGCAAAGGTGGAGAGACTGTGGGGCGGGGAGATGGCAGGAAGGGGGCAGGGCCTTGTCCCAGCTCTCCCCTTCATCCTTCTTCTGACCTTCCTGGCCGGAGTCAGGCCCAGGGCCAGGGCATCGGGGAGGTGGGGGGCCTTCGTGGCCAAGGGAACAGTAGAGCTATTGGGGGAAGTCATTAAGGGGGGCCCTGGGCAAGAGGGGCCGAAAGAGTTGCAGGGGGCAGAGTTCCCCTCCCGGGATCCAAAAGTCAGTAGGGTTGGGGGCAGGCCCCTCATTTGGCAACTGAGAAGAGGCGGCTTTGGGCGGCAGGATGCTGGTTTATTTACTGTAGGATCTCCAGGGCCATCAAAGCCCCCTCATGGGACGGGGAGACTATTTACACAGCCAGGGAGGAGGGCAGCCAGGAGGCAGAGACGGGTCCCATACTTCTCCCTGCCCTGAATGAGGAGGGGAGGGGCGTCCTGGGTCCTGCAGCTGTAGTCTTGGGGTTCAGATGGAAACTTCATATTCCCGAGTATCCTGAAGACAGAGAGATCAGGTCAGTTGTTGGAGTCTGATGGGGGTAGAAGAGGCAGCCAAATGGGAGGAGGGGGAACAACCTGAGTTTATTTATTTATTTTTATTTTTAAGCGTTGGGGTTTCACCATGTTGGTCAGGCTGGTACAGAACTCCTAACCTCGTGATCCGCCCACCTCGGTCTCCCAAAGTGCTGGGATTACAGGCGTGAGCCACCGCGCCCTGCCTGACCCTGAGTTTTAAAGTAACATTGACCACTGGGGGCTGTGGGGGCCACAGGGGCTGAATCTGGCCAGTGAATTTGTTTGGTTCACCCTACAGTGTCATAAAATGACACAAGAATCTGAATTTCAGGCTTGTCTTGAACAACTGGAAGGTCTGCCAATTAGGCCTCAGTTTCCACTATGGGATAGAGCCGTATCCTTGAGACGGGGCACAAGCCCTCCACTTAGCCACGGTCCTATCGCTCCCTATTGTCCACATGTGGCTCGCTGTGCTCACTGACATGGCCCCTGTGGGCACCTGAATTTTGAAATTCCCAAGACAGAGATTCCAGAGACCTTGCAAGGTTTTGGAGTCCTGGGAGAGCCTAGTGGTGGCTCTTCAGGGGCAGGGGGGTTGCTCACCCCGGCTTCATACAGTGGGTTGCTGAAGTCCGACTCCACGGTGATGGGGCTGTAGGAGTGGGAACCCGAGAAGCCGAAAAGGGACTTTCCCTGAAGCCTGAGAAAGGAAAAGGACAGAGGAGCTTATCAACAGGTAAGCCCCTGAGCTCCCCTGACCCAGGCTCCGGTGCCAGGCCAGCAAGACGTCTGCCCTGGCTGGCAGCACCCAAGCAGGCTACTTACTTGGTGTAGTATATGTAAACGCCACTGCCGAGAACAATGACCAAGCCTAGGGGCAGCAGGATGGCCAGGGCCAGGTTCCCCCCCTCCAGCTGCCGAGACGGGTCTGTGGTCTGGGTCACTATGGGAGGAGGAGAGGCCAGTGAGCTGCAGCTGGGCCCCATCCTGGGCTCTCCCAGCCTCCTGCCCTGGGCCTCGAACCCTGGACCTCACCCCTCCAAGGCCTGGCCTCCTGCCCGGTCTCTGCCTTGCCCTCCCGTCCTGGCCAGCCTGGGTCTCCACCTGTGCCCTCACTGACCTTCCAGTTTTCGGTTGTCCAGGAGCTCCTCATAGGCAACTGCAGGGAGAGGAGGGGGAGGGGATGGGGTCTGAGCCAGGGAGGGGAGGAGGCTGGAAGGGCCCGGAGCCCGGTGGGGCTGGGCTGGACAGCCTGGTTCTCTCTGTCCTCTGCTCAACCTCAACTTTCTCTTTCCCTTGGTGGGGAAGAGAGAGGAGTGACCAGCACAGGGCCTTTGTCCTCTTTCTCCAGACCCCTAAAAAGTCAGGGTTCCTGGACAGTCTGAATTTGTCAGATAGGGAAACTGAGGCCTATCCAGAGACAGCAAGGAACTTCCAAGCCAAGGCCCCCTCTACGACACCACTGAGCGAATCCCATGACCTCACACGACCCAGGGCTTCTGGACACACCCGTGAGGACACGAGGCCACAGGAGGAGAACCGGGAGCTCTGTGGGGTTGCTCATTGCTCTCGAATGTGCTACCTGACTCTCCCAGCCCTGTTACTCCCCGGACACTGGTGTGCCCCTCCTGCCCTGTCTGGCCAGGCACCTTTGCAGAGCGGGGGCTGGCTGGTCCACTGGGAGGGGTGGCCGGGCACACAGGTGATGGTGACCTCGCCGATAAGCTCAAAGCCCTCATAGCAGAAGAAGCGCAGAGACTCGCCCGCCTGGTAGTGGTGCTTGTACAGCGTCTGGTAGCCATTCTCAGGAACCCCTGGGTTCAGGCACGGCTCGTACTTCACTGCGGGGAGCATGCCAGTCACGTGCCAGCTGCACTACTGGGCACAGGGCAGACGGGCTCTCCCAGGGCTACCCAGCCACCCTCCCAGGGTGTGCCCTAGACTCACAGGCGCATTTGGGGACCCGGTCGCTCCACTTGGGTGTGCCCGTGTCCCGGCTGTAGCAGGTGAGCATGGCTGCCCCCTCTAGGCTGTACCCTGGCAGGCAGCGGTACTGTACGTGGGAACCAACGGGGAAGCCTGCGTCTGAGGCGGTGCGGTGCCCGTTGGTGATCTCGCCAGGGTCGGCACAAGTCATGACTGGTGGCAGAAGAACAAGGGCAGGGGGAGCGAGGGCTTAAAAGACCAGTCTGGGCCACATAAGGAGACTCCCATCTCTACAAAAAATTTAAAAATTAGTCAGGAGTGGTGGTGCACTCCTGAGGTCCCAGCTACTCAGGAGGTGGAGCGGGGAGGATCGCTTAAGCCCAGCAGGTGGAGGCTGCAGTGAATGGTGACTGCCCTACTGCACTCCAGCCTGGGTGACAGAGTGAGACCCTGTCTAAGAAAAATAAAATAAAATCTCCCAGAATCCTAGGGCTGGGAGAGGCCTGAGCCTCGGGCCATTTCCCCTGAACATCTCTGCACACACATGCACTTCCCAGCACTTCCTCAGAAGG